AAAAAATCTATTTAATATTACATTTATCTATCTACCCAACTCTATATATAATTAATATTTTCTTCCTTTCGTGCCTGTCTAAGGGTAAGATTGATGGAGAGTAAATGACGCCAATTCAAACTGACTGTCTTGGTAAACCGTCAACAAAGATTTAAACTTTTTATTTGAATGGGGGGGGTTTTTAAAAATCTTTTTTTTCTTTCTCTTTTACAGTGCAATTTTGTTAAACTTTTTTTTAAACTTTTTTGGTTGTCCCCCCCCCCCCCCCAAATTTTTTGACAATACTGAAATAGCCCTCTACCCATTTACTTATCTGCCCGCCCAAATTTTCCTCTTCCTCTCCCTTTCCTTTCCTCATTTCCATCTTCAACCTTTCCGGAGGAGGAAAAGAAGAAAAAAAGGTACTGGTCATCTGCTTTTGTTTGCAAATGGATGATGATGAGAAAGCCATAACGGGAAAACGACCGCCCAATCGCTTCCCAATTCCTTCATTTAAAAATTCGGTAGTGTTGTTGTCCTTCATTCATTTATTCTAATAAAAATGCCAGAAAAATAGAGCGGAACTGTAAAAATTCCTTCCATAAATGTCCACAGATGTTTCCTTTTTTTGAATTTTCTTAGTTCAAATTTTCTTTCATTTTCAGTTTGCGCAGAGGTTTTTCTAGTAGGACATCTTTTGCTTATATTTTCTATCCTTTCCCAAAGCTATTTTTCTTTCCCAAATATTTTTTTCGTTCATCCAGATACTTTTTTTGTTCTTTTTTTGTTGAAAAAAACATTTAAAAAAAGAACAAGGTCAACAAATTTTTTTTAAATATTTTTATTTATTTTAGATAAAAAGCCTTTTAAACCCCTCAAAAAATGATAGATTTAAATCCAGCTAATTGGAATAAAGAAAATATTTGTGATTTACCTCTTTCTAAATTTATTAATCCTTCAATTAATTCTTTAATTAATGAACAATGTGAAGAAGTTGAAAGTAAAAAGTTTTTGAAAATTAACAAAACATCTGGCAATAATGAATATTTTGAAGAAGAGAGTTTTAAAGTTAAAAGAGGCCGTTTTGAAATTGAAAAGAAATTGGAGAAAAGTTGTGAAGAAAATGAGAATGTTGGTAGCGAGGAAGCAGAAGAAGAGTGAGTTTTTTTGGTTATATTTTTTAAATTTTGAGCACATTTTAACAGAAATTTTAAATAATCACAGTCTCGATACGTCCTTAATTTAAGAGCACGCGGACATATCGAGACGGACATATCGGGATATTTCAAAACTTGGAATAAAGTTTTTATGTTTTAGAACAAAAGTAAACGCATGAAATTATTTTTGTCACCCCAATCCCGATATGTTCGTCCCGATATGCCTGCACACCAATTTAAGATACATTTTTTAGAATTTGTTTTTAGAATTTTGCTGTTTAGTAAATTCTTAAGCGATACCTTCTATTCTATTTAGGATATTTTTAAACTTTTGGGTGTCTTATAGTAAAATTAAAATTTTAAAAAATCTCAATTTTATTAAAGCCAATCTATAAATGATGAGGCTGAAAATTGGGAGAGCCTCTCTTTTTGGTGGTCACAACGCCAAAATCTTCGGGATCACAAAGGTTTTAAAAAATAAAATTTGAGGGATTTAATCTTTTAAATTTTAGCCAAATTAGCCTCTTCAAGATGTTTATTTCCAATTAATGAAGAAATAAAAAAACAACAAAATTTGGAGTCTTCTTCGAAACAAGTTAAAGCACGTATTGTCTTGGGGGAATTATTTTGTTATGTTCTATCGCCTTTTAAAAGTCAAGAATATTCGGATGAGGAAGAAGAAATTGAGGGAGAGGAATTACCACAAAAACAACAGAAAATTTGTTTAACTCCAAATAAAGTTTATTAAATATTTTGCCTGTTTAAATTTTTTTTGGAGGAATTGGAAGTTTTTGGGATTAATTTAGAATATTAATTTTTAAGAAAAGAGAAAACATTCTAAATGGAAACGCCCAAAACAAAGCGCGGGCGGAAGCCATAACTTGCTTCAGAATTGTCTAATCTCAACAAAATTTAGTATTAAACGATTCTTCTCATTGAGCTGCAGAGTTTGGTAACAAAATTGATAAGGGCCAGAAATTTTCCAGCAAGTTATGGCTTTGGGTTGTTTTGGACGCGCGTTGTTTTGGGCTGTACTCATTTAAAATATATTGAGAATATTTTTTATACCAATTTCCAATTAATTCTAACAAAAAAAAATTATTTTTCTTCCCCCCAACATATAACTGTTCTCTCTTTTTTTGATTAACTTTAATTATAAAACCTATTAATTTTTGATGTAAAATTATTGTAATTTAAATTTATTTTTCAGAATTTTGTAAAAATACCACATTTATGTGCCGATTTTTAATTGGGAATTTAGAAAATAAAATTTCAAAAAAATTAAAAATCGAGCAAATTAATATTTATTTTTGATGACCTCAACCTTCTTTAGACTGCCATTAATTGTATTTAATATAATTTAAAAAGTGCCTACTTAAAAATAATATTTTTTCTTTCTCTTTTTTCACTTATTTTAAATAATTCTTGATATTTTTGAAAACTTTCCTTTTTTTGATTTTTTCACTTTTAACGTTTAAATAAAATATGGAAACATTAAAAATGTCAAAGGAACGGGCTATGACATTAAAATTAACAAAATATTTCCTTGCATTGGTACAAAAAGTTTACCCAACGAGGATTTAGTTTCTTGGTAGTAATGATCAGATCTAGTATATCTAGGTATCATTCGACCAAGCTCGAAGAACGCTTTCGAATGATATATGATAAATTATATACCAAACAAAAAAAGCTCAAAATGGTCAGGGAAACTGAAAAAAGGGGGAGGGCGAATTCCAATCTATTACCAATTCATTTTTAAATAATTCTTGATATTAAAAAAAAAATTTTTCTTTTTTCACTTTCAACATTTAAATAAAAGAAATGGAAACATTAAAATGTCAAAGAAAAGGGCTAAGAAGAAATTTTAGATTTTTATTAAATAAAATTTTCGATTTTCTTGAATTTTTTTGTTTGATTTTTATTTCTTTCTCCCCCTCTCTTCTATTTATTTATTGTCCTCCTTTAAAATATTTATTTATTAAATATTCTTTTTTCGATTTTAAAACATTTTTCTGAAATTTATTTGTAATAAAAATTGGTAGCGAAACGAGAAAAAAATTTTTTTCTTTTTATAAAAGAAAATGGTTTGGTTGTTAAAAAGTATTTTAATACAAGAAGAGATTTTAGGGGAGAAAGGGGAAGAAAAGAGAAATACCCCCCCCCTTTAAATATAATTCTCGCGCGTTTAATTCTTTTCAATTTTTATGGTTTTTTTAATTCTCGCAATTGATCAGAAAAATAATATTTTTTTTTATTTTGAATTTTTTTTTTAATTTTGTGGTTAATCACGAGAGGGAAGAGAGATTATATTTAATTTAGTCAACTGATTTGTTTTTGTAAACAAAAAATATATTTGACTCGAAAAAGTCTATCCAAAAAAATTTGGCAAAATTGAAGTTTAAAATCGAAGTTTTGATGAGAAATGAAGGTTTTGGAGAGAGTTTACTGAAAAGTTAGTATGCTGAAAGGTTAGGTATTTTCAGACTAGAGGCTGGACTGGGAGTCATACGGGAATCGGCACGAGATTTCTCGTAAAAATTTTCTCAAAAAGCTTATCTCAATCCTATCTCTATTTCAGACAGCTTAACAAAATATTTAATTTGATTAGATCCAACTATCAGAATTTATTTAAGATTCCTTTTCTATCAATCTTCTTGTATCCTTTTGTGTCAATCTTTCTCTTCGAACTCAATTTAATTCTTGATTTCTCTTGTAGTTTTTTGATTTTAAATTTTAAATTCTAAATTTAATTCATTAATTTTTTTGATTATTTTTATTTTTTAGATCGACATTCGCAACTACTTTTTAATTTACTAACTGTTCTCCCTTAAATACTCCCTTCAATACTTACTAACAACATTCACGCGTTCCTTTTTTCTTGAAAAAAAAAATTTAATTAAATTATTACTATTTATTAGTCTTCTTCCATGGAATCGATCATTCTTTTATACTTTTTCTCGCCCCTACAATTATTATTTAATTAATATTTTCCACTAAAAATGCTCAAAAAAACAACATCTGCAACAAGTTTAAGAAAAATTTTTAAAATTTTCTTTTCAAATTTTTTAGGAGACGAATCTCTCCATTGCGGGGTTAAGACTATCCAATGTGTTGGTTTTAATCGCAAAAAAGTGTGGCCGGCTAAAGAGGGGACAAGCAATGCAGAATCTAAACTTAGAGATAGCCTGAGCTTGGTAAAGAAGAATTTTTTTGGAATTAATTTTTCTCGAAAGAAATTTTTGGGAGGATTAATGTGTATAGCTACATATTTACCTAATTCCTAAAGCTATTCAGATCACTTACAAAGGAGAGGCTTTTGGGTGTCCGTGAGACTTCGGGTCGGTAAATAGGTAAACAACTATTGTGAAATTTTCTCTACTATTTTAGCAAAATGGTACTTGGGGCCGAGTTATAAGGCCCTCCGCTATTTACCAAATTTCATCCCGAAGTCCCACGAGCAGCCTCTCCTTTGTCAGGTCAACTAAAGGATGCTTGGTTAGCTTCCACCCGCCTAAATAACCTTTTGTTTTAATTAAAGGACAAATAGCTATATGTATCCCTCTAAAATAATTTTTAGTAAGGTTTAAAGACCGCCGATTATATTTTTAAAAGATGACAGGACCAAAAAATAAAAATATTTTGAGGTGAATAAGTGTTCCTTCTCCTTTTCTCGTAAATAAATAAATATAGATAAGAATTTATGACCTTGGAAGAAAAATGAGAAAAGAGGGAAAAAGAGACAACCAAAAGCGTAAAAATAATAAAAGGATTTTTTCTGTTGCTTTATGTCCGGTGATTTTCATTTTCAAAAATTTTTCCAAATATTTACTTAGCTTTTTTTAAAAAATTTTTAAAAATAAAATAATGATTATTTATGATGAATTAAATAAAGAATTGATTGATTCTCAAGAATTTATTTTTAATGGCTCTTTGGTAGATAAATAAATTTTTTTGAGAGAGATTTCGGTAATTCCGAGCTTCGTGCCCCCCCCCCCCCCCCCACACTTTTTTTTATCCCTAATATTGTACATAATGGTTAGATTTTCTTCTTCCTCTCCTTCCTCTGTTTGCCCTGTAGCAGCATATTCAAACGAGACGAGATTTCTTAAAGGGAGAGAAGAATTAAGGGTAATTTAGGTGTATAAATTACCCAATTCAATCCCAACTCCAAAATTTTCTTCTAAAATTTTTCCTTCCATTTTTAGTCATATGTGGAGCATTATTTAACATTGGAGGAATTGAGGGACATTCATCCCGATTCTTTCATTGATTTGAATGCACCTGAGAAAAGTGATGGATTGTCTAGTGAAGAGGCTAAGTGAAGATTTTTAAGAGAATTTAATTTAAATTTGAAAATTTTAGGAAGCGATTAAAAGATGGAGGTGCCAATGTTTTAGCCCCGCCAAAAAGAATCTCTAATTTAAAATTATTTGCCAAACAATTCCTATACAAATTTTGGTTGCTTTTGATGGGAGCGGCACTTTGTACAATATTTACTTATGTATATCTTTATAATATTTTCTTTTATTAAGAAAGGGGAAAAACGTCTAAATGAGGGATTAAAATTCGTAAGAGAAGCAGAATCATGCTTCAGTAGCTCAGTCATCTGTAGAGTAGGGTTAGCGGTTCCTGGTAAATTTTTTGGATATACGGAACTATAGTGTTCATGCTGTGGAAAATTCATTGGATGGGAGGTGGAATTGAACCATCACGGAATGAGCCCAGACCGAAGCACAACTGACTGTGCCACCATCCAACCCGATGCTGGGTTGTTTATTAAATTAATATTCTTTCTGCAAGTGCGGACACAACAGGAACCGATGTTCGGGCTTTTCGGTTCCGCAAAATCTAACCTTCTGTAGAGCATCTAAACATGCTGAATTGTGAGTAAAGCGCCTAGAAAAATTGTCAACTGGTGTCAGGGCTTACTTTTATCTTCCCCTCCTCTTTCCAAACTTTTCCCCAACTCTCAATTATTACATAATTTCCAGTTTATTCATTTATATCACGGAACAGAAGAATTACTAAATCTTTATTGTGCCTTTACTTTAATTGCTGTTGTTCTGATTATGAGTTTTCTAAGTTTTTGGCAAGAAAAGAAAGCAATGAGGGTTGTTTATGATTTTGCCCAACATATGCCTCATAATTGCTCTATTATTCGGGATTGTGAAGAAAAACAAATTCCTTCAGATGAATTGGTCGTTGGGGATATTGTTATAATTAGGTAGAAAATTTTGGATTCTTCCTTATTAGACTGCAAGCGTTGAAATGAATGATGTTTAACGCGTTATCATTTTTAAAATTTGGAGAGAATATTTTATTTGGAGGATTATTTTGGTTAGATCAGACTAAAAGTTACATCCGAGTAAAGATAAAAAACACGATTATGCTCACTTATCCATAAATAACTTTTTGTAGGATAATCTGATCAAATCAACCCTGCTGGATAAAATAATCCTCACATCCAGAGCTTTCGATTGATATAATAATAATTATTTAATTTGGTTAAGAATTTAAAAAGTTATGGGCCTGAATAAGGCCTCGAGATTGAAACTGCTACTCATTAGGAGGGGGGACTGCTACTTGTTAGGGAGAGATTTGTCTAAGCGATACCCCTTTTTAAAAAACATTATAATTTATAGTTTCTTAGCTTTAGGAGTGTATGTATATTTTAGTGGGGTCAGACTATTTTAAATACCGTAAATTCTCTAATTAAAGCCCTGGGCGTCAATTTTTCAATGGGTCAATTTGAGTGGGCTTATATTAGATATGGGCTTCTAATTAGAGCATTTACGGATTAGAGCATTTTTAGCATTTTTTTCTAAAATTATTTTATTTAAATTTACATAATTTTAAGATCTGGCCAGCAAGTTCCTGCCGATATTCGGTTTTTTTATTTTCACTTTACAATTTTATTCTTCCTTTTTTCTAAAGAATTTTACAATCAAATGGAGTCAAAATAGAATCATCAGCAATTAATGGAGAGCCCCAAGCTGTTGACTACACAAACGAACCGGCGGCTAAACATGTTGCTCTTTTTGATGCGAGAAATGTAATCCTTCGAGGTTGTTATTGTACGGAGGGGGAAGCTATTGGATTGGTGATTAGAACGGGGAAATATACGGTTTTTTGAAATTATTTTTGGAAAAAAAATATTTTTTAAGATGTTGGGTAATTTTACACATTTACAATCGACTGTTAAATTAACAGAAACTTTACTACAAAAAGAAATTGCAAAATTTGTTCAGGTTTTTTTCTAAAATTATTTTCTCTTAATTCACTAATGATAAGTCCTTTTTCCTAAAAAATAAAAGATAATATTTCGAGTGTTTTTTAAATTTTCGATTATTAAATTTAAAAATTTAAGATTAACATAAGTTTAAGCTACCGTATCTAACCTAGAAAAATTATTACAAAATTTTTCAAATAGGATTTAAAATTGGGGTTGGGGTTTTCGAGTTGGGCCGACGTTCGAATCAGGGTTGCCGCGGGTACAAAAAAAGCCGGGTTTCAGGTTTCGGGCGGCAACCCTGGTTCGAATCATTTTTTCGAGCCGACCCGACCGAGTCTTTTTAGGGCCAAAATTTGATGGCCGACTCGATCTTTCGGACCGGACCGGGCCCCCAATCCTATTTAAAATTATGAGAGCACATTTCAGCATAAAATTTAATTTAACCAGAAACGTGTTAGAATAAATTAATTAAAGAGAAGTCCAAAAAAGAATTTTTATGTTAAATAGGAAATTTTATTAAATTTTTAAACTTTTTTTCAGTTTATTTCAATTATTGCTCTTTCGATGGGAGTTATTTTCTTTTTAATTGGCTGTGTCGTCACAAGGTAAATTTGAAAAATTTTTTCAATTTTTATTTTTAAAGATTTGATAATGTTCTTTATCATTTTGTCACCGGATTTCTTATTATAATGTAAATTTTATTTTTTTAATTAAATTTACACTAAATTCCCCCAAAAGTGTAGCTAATGTGCCTCAAGGTTTGCCAGCAATGTTAATGTCCCAATTGGCAATTATAGCTAGAAGGATGGCTAAAAAGAATGTGTAAATTAATTTTAAAAAATTTAAAATATTTAAAAAGGTTTATTAAAAAATTGGATATAATTGATGAATTGGGGGCAGCAACGGTTATTGCTACAGACAAGACTGGCACATTAACACAAAATTTGATGATACTTACAGATATGTGGTTAGTGGATTTTTTAAATTTTTTTAGGGTAGCTCCCCGAGCCTTCGGGGTTCTCCTCCTTTTCTCCCTCCCTTTAGAGCCTTCCTTTAATATTTTAAATTTTTAAAATTAATTTACACATTCTTTTTAGATTAATTTAAATTAATTTAATTAATTTATTTAATTATATAATTTAATTAATATCATTAAATTAATTTACACATTCTTTTCGGTGATCGGGGTTTGCCGGGGAGGGCAAAAAGTTACGGGGGACGCGGAGCTACCCAAATTTATTTAGTTCCTTTTAATTTTTCAAATGATATTAAGGTACAATCGAAGGTATTTTTCAGGTAAAATTATTTTCTAATATTCCTTCATTAAATATTTTTAAGTACACGGAGAATTGAAACATACACACATGAAAGTGCTTAAACATGCAGCTCAAAGAAAAGAATTGGAAAGGCCATTACCTGAATTATTGGCAGTTATGTGTATGTGCAATAAGGTTAGCTTTTTAATTTTTAATTAAATTAAAAAAAATTTTTAGGCCCATTTCGAACGTACTCGACGTTCTATGCGCCGTGTTTGTACACAAATGGCTTTAGAAAAAGAATTGAGAGAACAAAAAATTGTTGCTCGCCAAACTAAAACATTTCGTGTTGTGTATGTTTTTTTGAAAATAATTTTTTAAAGTAAAAATTTTGAAGAGACCAAACTGGACATGAATCTGTTCGGGTACCTTCAACAAACGATCTTTGTAAAATGGAGGCAACTCTAACGGGCGAGGGAATGGAAGAGGACCCAGAAAGGTGGCCAAAGGCTCGAAAACGTACAAATGATTTGATTGGCTCGCCTTCTGAGGTAGGAGGCTTTTTGATAATTTTTCTAATCTACACATAGTTTTGAAGGTTGCGTTGCTTCGTTATGTGGAAATGGTTGCTAGTGTGGAAGGAATTCGAAATAGATATAAGGTATGGAAGGGGGAATCTTTTCCAATTAATTATTTTTCCGTTAAGTTAATGTTGGAAATTCCATTCAATTCTGTTAGGAGATGGCAATTAGTTGTGGTTAAATGTCTTGTTAGTACTTTAAGTAGCGGAGTGAGTGCTGGAACGCCTGAAAAGAGACCTCAATTCAGTCGTTTCTTGACTCCATCACCAACTACAGAACATTCGGAAACATCAGAAAATGGGGAGAATAAAAGCCAGCATTCTCCACCCTCACAAAGTGCGGAAACTGATTTTTCAGTTATGATTAAAGGAGCGCCTGAAGTGATATTGAGGTAAATGATTGGAATAAATGTTTCATAAATATTTTCGTTTGCAGCCTTTGTTCCGATGTTTTAATGGCAAACGAACTCAAACCAATTGATGAACAATTTCGACATGATTGCCAAGCTGCTTGGGATCATTTTGGTTCGGAAGGTCGTCGAGTTTTTGCTTTTGCTCATCGTCAATTTAGAGCTCCAGGGAATACAAAGTTTTCTGCACAGTCGGAGAACTATCCCAAAAATGGCCTGACATTTCTTGGAATGGCTGCAATGATGGATCCACCAAGGTTTTTATTTTGGATAAATTATATAAGGGATAAATCTTCTTTAAGAAACGAAACGGCCGCCGCAATTCAACAATGCAAAGATGCCGGCATTAAAGTTTTTATGATTACTGGCGATCATCCAAGTGCAGCTAGTGCAATTGCTTCTCAAATTGGGTTAACAACGACTAAAAATGAGGTATTTTCTTCTAAAAACTTGAAGAATTTTTCTTTAAATTTAATTTTATAGGTTAGGTCCCGAGGTAATCAACAAATAAAATTAAGTCTCGATCCGAGTCCCCAAATTGACTGGGCAATTGTTCTAGGCGAATCACTGGCTGAAATGAGCGTGGAAGAATGGGATCGATTATTAACCCACAAATATATTGTTTTTGCGAGGTTTCTTTTTAATTTTAAGTGGTTTTTAAAATTATTTTTTAAATTCAGAACAACACCTGAACAAAAACTTTTAATTGTGGAACAATGCCAAAAGCGAGGAGAGACAGTTGCCGTTACTGGTGGAGGTGTTAATGATGCCCCTGCGCTGGCAAAGGTTCTTTTTGTGAATTTTTATAAATTTTGAAGAAAATTGTTTAAAGGCAAATATAGGAATAGCTATGGGTGTTAATGGAAGTGATATTGCTAGAAGAGCTGCGGACATGTGGGTAAATGAATCTGTATTTTTATATTTTATTTTAGATTAAAATAATCTGTATTTTCCCCCAGCTTTTTCTAAAAAATTTTTATTTTTAAAAACTATTTTTAAAAATTATTTCTGGCGAAAAAATCTAGTTAAAAAATATTTTAAAAATAATATTTTTATATAATTAATTTTATTTTTAAGAGTTTTAACAGACGACAATTTTGCTTCGATTGTGAAGGGCATTGAAGAGGGCCGATTGTTATTTGACAATTTAAGTATTAATTTAATATTAACATAAAAATTCTGGGTGGATCTCATTTTTAAGATTCACCCTTTGGGGCTATAATGACTGTTAAATATAGGGGTGTATACAGCAGGGGTGGGCCGAGCCCCAAAAAATACGAGACACGAGATGCACGAGATTCTTAGAAAAATACGAGAACGAAATAAGAGATCTCTCAAAACGAGATTTCACGAAATACGGGACTACGCCCAACCCTGGTATACAACAGTTTCCTCACCTAGTGGCTAAACAAATTCAGAAAACCTCTTGAATTGAAGAGTATCTGGTATATAAAAATAATTTATAGGACTTTCTATTGCCTATACATTGGCTCACCTTTGGCCTGAAGTTTGTCCAATCATTTTGAACTTTACTTTGGGAATGCCTTTAGGATTAGAACCGCTGCAGGCAATAAACAATAAATGTTTTGTTTTTAGTAATTTTTTAATTTTCAAGATTTTAAGTATTGATTTGGCTAGTGAACTTCCCCCGGCTATTTCTTTGGCTTATGAAAGTCCTGAAAGGTTTTTTTCCTTGTTATCTTTTCCTAACATTTTTCAACCTTAAACAGGGATATTATGAAAGTTCCTCCTCGCAATCGAAATACAGAATTAGTTTCGAGTAGATTATTGTTGTATTCATACCTTTTCTCTGGTACTTTTATAACAATTGGGTGTGTTGCTTCTTATTTGAGTGTTTATTGGTAAATTATAGGGAATCTTAGAATTTAGAGTTTGACCCCGAACGCTCGGGGGCGGTTATGTCGGGGTACGGGGTTCGGATCGGGGTTCGGGGTCAAATTCTAGTTTAAACTTAAAGTTTAAAATTTATTTTTAAAGGTACAACAAAATATCACCTCTCAACTTGCTGTATGTATCAGTTTAAGATTAGAGTGCGGCACTGAATAAGTTCTCGTCCCTATTTTTTCTCGTTCAATTTTTGTAAAAATTCCATTTACGGTCCCAAACTTAACAGTTCTTGCTGCACAGTTTGAATTATCTTTCTTATTTTTTTCTATTCAGTTACACTTCAGAACGCTATTGGCATTATGAGTCGGCCAATCTAACAATAATCGGTCCAAATTCTAAAGAAATATCATTCGATAATTTAGAACAAATTAGAATTAGGAGACAAGCCGCAGGTTTATTGAACTTGTTAAATTGTCATTTTTTTAAATTCTTTGTAGCTGCATGGCAAATTACGTTGGTTATGGTTAGTTTATATTTGGTTTTGGTGGGGAGACCTTCCCATCTTAAATTTTGTTCACTTTTCTTTTTAAATCTGTATTTATCAAAAAATTTAATTAATTATTCATTCCTTTGGAAAGAAAATCGCGATATCCAAAAAGTTAAAGAAAACTTAAGCCACAAGTAGCAAGTCAGGAAAGGATTAGGTTTTAGGAAAGAAATTATGAAAACATCCGTACTAGGCTGTCTTCTGCCTTCCGCAGAATTCCGCTTTTTACCCTCCGCGTGGCGTTTTTTAAATATGGGAGGACTCATCTCTGATCCGTACCGTGCATTTAAATAAAATTTTTAATAAATCTTCTAGTCTCAAGTATTCCATCTTTACATGTGCACAACTAGAAGAATTTCCATTTTTCAACATGGCATTACCAATTTAGTCAGCATTTTTGCAGTCATTATTGAAATATTATTGCTCAATTTATTTGTATACACGGTAAATAATTATAAATGTAAAGGGAGGGTACTTTTCCGTTCTTTTTTCTTCCAAAAAAGAATAGAAAATTTTGAACAAAAATATGACAGAGAAAGAAAAATCCAAAAGTTGCTTCCTTGTAGACGAATTAATTAATTAAAACAAAAAATTTTTTTATCTATTTTAGCCAGCATTTCAATATTTAATGGATATACAATCCCCACCTTTGTTTGTATGGCTGTTTGCACCAATTGTTGGTCTCTACCTTCTAGTTTTTAATGAAACGCGTAAATATTTTATCAGGAATCATCCAAGAAATAGAATTGTTAATTTACTCAAATTTTAGAAAAAAAGCTAATAATTTTTGTTCATTTTAATAAAATTTTGCATTTCTAATTTAATGTTTTGAAATTACCATATTTATCATTTTACTGGACAGAAGCAGTATGTCAGAAATTATAAAGAAAATCGAATTCAAAAAAATCGCTGCATTTTTGTTTTGGCGTTATGTATCAAAAATCGATATTTTTTGTCAACAAATTTGGGTGGGAGGCGAGACACAATCCGACCAAAAGACAATCCGGACATTTTTTAGAGTAAACACACCGTCCAACTTTTACAGATAATCCGGTAATCCGACTTGCATATGTCGATACATATTATGATTTATCCCTACGAATATTGATTGGGTCTTGGCTAGGAATTTACTCCTAGGCCTAAAATTGTACTTTAAATGCTGCTTGCTCATTCTTAGCGAAATGGTCAGTGACATTTTCACGATGGGTCCTTACATTTTCCTCTTCTAGCAGTACACCCCCCCCCCCGTTTTATGAACTCTAATCGATAATTGACATTATGAAAATTGGACATTATTAAAACTGACCGTTTTGCCACTTTTTTCCTTCAACGCGAATTAGAAATTTTGTGTAGACAAGTTATCGCGCTCAAATAAATGCACGCTCTCTCTGTTGTTTATCTTCCACATTTTGCGTTTCTTTTCCTCTTAAAATATTCTACAGCATACTAAATATGCACTTTTGTTGAAAAACCGAGAAGGGATTACCGGTTTTGAAGGCCGATCCTGGGTAAAAAATCGATTCCCTATGTGAATCCACGATTCAGAAGACGTTATATTTATAACAAAAAATTAACTCCAACACTACTAGTACCTTTTCTCTAACACTAAATAACAACCAACTATTGCAAGTTGGCGGGGCCTGCCTATTTTTAATGGATCACGTGCAAGTTACACTTCGAATTACAAAATGTCCAATTTACATAATGCCCAGATACATATTACTAATTTTGGTGTATCGAACACTAAAACCTAATATAGCCCCAGAACTTATATGGCGCCTCCAACTCGCAACCCCCTTCAGTAATTATGTTTTCATCCTCCCCCAATTTTTTAACTTTAATTTATTCCTGGGTTTCAGTGGCTATTTTTGTTTCTGTAAGATTGTTTAGAGTCTAGACTTAAATTGGCCTGGGACCATCCATTAGCTTGTTGCTACCTTTTTCGGTCTATACAAAAATTTTTTAATTCGAAAAATCTTAACAAACTGAAAAAAAGCAAACGAAACAGATGGTCACAAATGCATTCACATATGTATCTCTACCCTAACAATGTTACAGAAACCAAAAATTACCATAAAATCGAGAATGTAATAGCTGTTAAAAAGTTTAGGAGGCAAGTACCATTCCCTAAATTTCGAGTATAAATTTACCGGAAATATACGGTACCTTATCATTTCCACAATTGACATTTTTAAATTGGACATTTTGTCCTTCTGGCATTTTGAACATGTTTTTTATTTTCAAAGACTATTTGCTTTCGCATTTTTCTACGCCCACTACTCTACTTTCCTTATTCTCTACACACATTTTGTGGCTTGTCTTCTTTTCATTCCGATTCTTTCCATTATTTTCCTTCTATCCTTTCTTATTTATTCCCTTAACTCAAGCCAAGCCAACAACAACCCAGCATCTGCCGCCTAAAAGCACCGATATTTTTCTTCACCATATATTGTTTTTTTCATTTTAGTGATACAAAAGTTAAAAAAAAGTTTAAAAAACTTCAAAAAATTTAAAATGTCTACTGCTGCAGCAAATTCTCCGACTACTACTCCGACTCAGCAAAATGCTAAAAAGGGAATTTCCAAGAAGGCGCAAAAGCCGAAGTCTCCAAAGGCATCGAAGAAACCAAAGTCGCCAAGCGATCATCCTCCATACAAATCTGTGAGGATTTCTTTGAATTCCAGCAAAAATTGACTTAAATATTTTTCAGATGATCAAAAAGGCATTGGATGAATTGAAGGAAAAGAAGGGGGCTAGCCGTCTTGCAATCCTGAAATTTATTATGTCGCATTACAAACTTGGAGAGAACCCGGCAAAGGTAAACGACTTTATTTTAGAATTTCAAGTTTAAATATTTCAACTTTTGTAGATCAACGCCCATCTGAAGCAAGCTTTGAAAAGAGGTGTTCAGACTGGCTCTCTTAAGCAGACGAAGGGTATTGGCGCAGCTGGATCTTTTATTCTTGGAGAAGGAAAGGCAATCAAAATTGTCTCGAAGTCGGTTTCGCCAAAGAAGGCTAAAGCAAAGACTGCCGGAGTGAAGAAGCCAGCTGTTAAGAAAGCAACACCAAAGAAGAAGGTTTCTGGAAAGAAGGCTGCCCCGGCAAAAGCAAGTCCTGCTGCTGCAAAGCCTGCTGCTGCTCCAACTCCTGCAGTTGTTGCGCCTACATCACCAGCAGCTAAGAAGACGGTCAAGCCTAAGGCAAAATCGGCAAAGAAGGGAAAATCTCCGAAGAAGTCTGTCGCAAAGAAGTCTCCAATTAAAAAGGCAAATTTCTTCATTTTATTAATTAATAATTCCCTATTATTTTTAGGCATCTGCAAAGAAACCAAAGACTGCAAAGAAGCCAAAAGCGGCCGGAGGGAAGAAGCCAGCTGCTGCAAAGGCAAAAGGAGGGAAGCCTGCTGCCGCGCCTCCAGCTACGAGCGCTTAGAAGGATGAAACGATGCCAGACTTTCTTGGCCTTTTAAAAAAATTTTAAATCCCCATTTGGATCTCTCCCATCATTTTATACTAAAACATCCATTTGATCGCTGTAGTGCACCCAATTTAAAATTTTTTTCATTTCATTACCATATTCTGAAAAAACACCTCTTTGATTATTTAAATTTGTGTTTGTAGTTTAAGTGAGGAAAAAATGTTTGGTTATGGTTAAAAACAATAAAAATTATTAAATACTCACTTAAACTATTAACTTGAAAATGCTTTGTGACTAAATAAAAGTGGAAAGGATTTTTCTGAAAATTGACTTTTAATTATTTAAATTTGAAATTTAGTAACAAAGCAAAAAATATCGCAACTTCTCTTTATGTTAAAAACAAATTTAAAACATCAAGTCTTTTTTGTATTTATATTTAATTTGGTTTTGACTTGATTTAAATAACTGATGAAAGCTGAAGACTTGATGTTATATTGAGAACAATTTAACAAATATTTTGATAAACAATTCAAATTGATTTTTAATTATTTAAAGAATTTAAATTAAACATAAGGAAGATTTAGTAATATATAGGTTGGTTTGGGTCCTTTTTTGAAGATCTTTAATTCCACATTTGGCTTGTTTCCAACTTTCACACATGTATTTCCCATGAGTGGAAGGTTTTGAATGTTTTTTGAGGGCATGAATACTATTTTTAAATCATGAGGGTAATAGAAGGAAAAGGGGTGGACCCGAACCATAAAATCTCCAAAAATTCTCTAAAATTAAAGATTATCTTTCTTTGGAACATCTAAACGTTTTATATTTTCTGCTTCAATTGATATTTTAGTATCATCTGGTGTTGTCTCTGTCTCCGGCAAAGATTTAAAATGTTCCAGATTTCCTAGGAATAATTCAGCTGCTTCTTTATCTACAATTTCACATCCAAAAATTGGAATTAGAAGGAATTCCTTTTTTGGTCTAAAATAAAAATATTTAATATTGGTATTCCCTTTAATTTTTACTGGTCCTAGGGTTGCCGTTTTCGAGTCGGGCCAGATTTTTCCGAGCCATTTTTTCGGGCCTGACTTTATCGTGTCGGGCCGAACGAGTCTTTTTCCGGCCAAACATGAAGGCCCGGCTCGATCTTTCGGTTCGAGTTGGTCCATTTTGGCAACCCCAGTTGTTCCCATATATTTTTAATTTTTTTAATGTTTGCCGGACAATGAAAGGATAGAACGAGATTAATATTATTTTTGCTTGAATCAATTTTCGGTTATTAACCAAAAAAATTTCCCATTCCTTGACTTATTTGGGAAAGTCCCCCAACTTTTTTAAAAACATTTAGAATAACCTAAAAGTCCATATCAATTTAGCATAACCCGCCACTCCAGTAGAATTACTGTCTGTTAAATCCTTCATATCCCCCAAACGAGCAAATTCATTTTGGCGAAATCCAAACTTCGAAAAATGTCCAATTCTGTAAATTGTTTTAGATTCTTTATCAACAGAAATTACACCAACAATTCGAGTTAATTCTCTACAAAAATTAATAAAAAAGGTTTATTTAGTGGGTGAGGGGAAACTCAAGGAATTCCAAATCACGGAACAGACAATTCAAGGAACGACCAACTCATGGAATATTTTAAAAAAGCAGAATTTAAAAAAATGTTTTTTAAAAATATTCGAGTTGGTCGTTCCTTGTCTTGTCCTTTCCTTGAGTAGCCCGACACATTATTTAGAATCTCAAAATAACCTTTTAACCAACAAATTCACTAAAGTAGCAAACATTGCCAGTCCTAATTGGGGAGAAATTACAAGTAAATCGACTAATCCTGTAGCTGATAATTGTTGAAAAATTGAGTAAAATAAAAGAATATATGAGCCAAAAAACATTAAAGAATTTAAACGAAGAGTTATAAATAATCTAAAAAGTTAATTTTGTGGGAATTATATAAATGAGAAAGACAAACCTTAAAAGGCCTTTTCGATTCCTGTAAACTGGAATCCTTAAAGTTAAAATATTTTGAAAAAGTAAGTGTTAAATAAAAGTTTAACTACGAGGGGGAATTGAAACTGTAACCCGTGTTTCAAGTCGAGATTGGGTTATACGAGAAATTAATGGTTAAATGACCGTGTTTTTGATATTTAACCCTTAGTGGGGCGGGGAAGGGGGATAGAATAACCCTAAACTCGAATATTTGGTAAAGACTAGGGTAGGACACAACCGCTTATTAACCGGTACACCCCTTGTTTTCGGTTAATCCTAATTTTAAAAATCGGTTTTCGGATTTGAGTTTAAGACAAATACCGGTTTTATTTTTACTTGTTTTATTTTTTTATTTAATTAAATTACCACTTATTTTCAGAAGTTCTCGGTTTTTTAAATTTTGTAAAAACGGTTAATTTTTGGCAAAAAAATATCAAAACTCTCGGTCTTAAAACAGGTTGTGAGCAACCCTAGTAAGGACCATATTAACTTTGTTAGGTCCTTCGTTTGCCACATTCAGAGCCCTAGACTTTCCCTTCTCATATAAGAGATCAAATTCCTCGCCCAAACATTCCCAACAACAAAATTCCCAACCAACCAAGCATTTTCACGTTCAGCCTTCTCCTTCAACCTTAATTCTTCTTCTGACCATTCTTCTTTTAAATTGGAAGCATTCAAAAGTAAATCAAGAGCACTTGGTCTTCTTTGAATAATTTTGTTGGAAGTATTTGGATCAGATTCAGAATTGGATGTTTTTACTGCCAATTGGGAATAATTTAGACGAACACAAAAAGGCTTTTTTCTTCCATAAAGTAAAGATTTACAAAAATGGAGGCGAGAACTAAATTGTTATTTTTTAATTAGAAAATTAACTCTAAACAACCTTAAAATGCAACATTCAAGTCTAAACATTTAAAAAAACTAAAAATAATAAAGAAAAATTATCCTTAACTCAAATTAAATATTTAAAAATAACTATAATTAATTAAATATATTAGACAAATTTTAGAAAAATATTTATTTGAATATCAAGCAAATATCACAAAAGAATCATAAAAGGTTATATCAGGGTTTGGATAAAGAAAATGTTAAGTGTAAGTACAAAAAGTTAATTTGGAAGTACATTGGGGGAAAATTTTCAAAATATAATTACGCCACAAAAAAATTTTTCAAGCACTTTTTGGGACGAAGGCGCCAAAAAAGTCTAACATTTTTTGCGTCTCATGCGAAAATTTTGAGAATTTTAAGGTTAAATTTAATTTTTAACCAAAAAGTTTATTTGTAAGTACGTACTTACAAGCAGAGGTGGGTCGGAAATGACGAAGGTGTCGGAAATTGGAACTGTCGGAAATCGGAAATGGCTCAAAAGTCGGAACTCGGAAATCATACTTTTTTTCGGAAATCGGAATTTCAACCCAACTCTGCTTATAAAAAGTACATTTTTAATTTTGGAAGTATGAGGGTCGATTTGTAAGTGCTGTACTTCCAAAATAAGTACGAATCCAAACCCTGGGTTACATAAAAATTTAAAATTCGAATCTTTGTTAAGTGAAAAGTTAGAAAAAAATTTTGGGAAAAAATTATTAGAGATCGATAAAATAATTGAAAAAGTTAAATTACTGAATAATTTGACAAACTTTTACGACTTGTTTTCATCAAATACTGCCAGCAATTGATTAAATAATGTGTATCTAATCGAGCATATTCAACCATATCGCGACTTAAAGGACTGAAAAAAAGAAAATAAAATTTAAAAGAATTAACCGTCTCATCCAATCCGCAGTCTGATATCGCTTATCCAATTTAATACCGCAAGCAACATAAACAAGTTGCTGAAGATTACATCGAGAGGTGCTGGTATCAAAAACATTTTTAATTTTAATGTCGAAAACCGTTCTTAACCATTTTGCATCATCATTGCCGTGGACAATCTAAATTTAGTTGAAAATTTTAAATAAAACTTTAGAGGGGATTTTATGCAAAATCACATAATAAAGGCGTATAGTTTATACGTCCTAAAATCTGATTAAGAAAAGTATCTCAAATTAAATGTGTTGGTTATATGGCATTTAAATTTTATGGTACTATCGCATTATACCGCCACAAGTCCGCAAAAGTCTCTTTTATCATAAAGATTGCAAATGTTTAAGGATAAAAATGGTCATGGATTAATTTGAAATAAGACAATCAATATGAGAAAAGTGTCCTTTTTTATTTGAGGTTCAGTTATTTTCAACTCAATAAAAATAAGGAATGATGGTTACATTCATGTTCTTATTTCGCATTTTAATTAACATTTTTTTATTCAATATGAGAAGAAAAGGAAGAGAGACTTTTGCGGTCAAACATTTGCAGACAAATTATATTGAGTATAATGTGCTTAAATCGTTTTAAATTCTAATAAAAACCTTAATAATCTGCGGATTTTCAAAAGCTTGTTTGAGATAATTAGTAACGGCGCTTTTCATTCCATTTGCCAACGTGTCAATTACAAAATCCTTATTTTGTGTAGAGATTTGTAATAAGCACACTTTACTATTCGTGCCGTGACGGAAAGGAATTGTTCTCTCCAAATCAAAAGCAAACACTTGCTCACATTCTAAATCTTTTGCCAACTGAATTACATAATGAGGATATTCCATGAACCAGAATGGAGTTCTATCTAAAGAAAGTCCAACTGGCAGTGGATCCTAAAATAGATTAAAGTTAAATAGGTTTGTCTTAAAAGGTACTTGTGAGTTATATCATACCGGTTCTTGCGGACATATTTATGCGGACTCACTCATATTTACAGAATGGGCAGACATTTTTCATCATTTTCACTCTATTTTTCAATGGCATTATTTAATAAGAGGTATTAGTAAAAAAAGATTATTTTTTCTCTCCAATGTCACCAAATAAGTTTGTATTTTAAGTGAGTACGCATAAATATGTCCGCAAGAACTGGTATGAGATAACTCACTACAGGCCCGTAGACAGGATTTTCTTCCAGGGGGTGGGGGGACAAGGGGGAAAAAACAAGGGGAAAAAAGCACGCGAAAATGTTGAGAATTCTAGAAGGCCGTAGGCCAAAAAAAATTCACTTTTTTGTTCAATCCCTTCCCCAAATTTTTCCCTTTTACCCATTTAGAGTAGGGGAACCACCCCCTGGCTACGGGCCTGACTAAAAAATACCTCTTAAAATTTACTAACCGGCATTTGAGTGGTTAATGAATTATATTGAATACTCCTTTTCCGTTTTCTTGGTTTTTGGTTAGATGTACTCGTTGCTTCTCGCTCAATAATCTTTTTCTTCTCTTCCTCAGCTTTACTAATTTCTTCATCAATTTGAGTACAAATATCATCCTATTGGAAAATAGGTAAGGATTTAGGAAGGAATCAGTAAAAACATACTATTCGCCCAGAAACAGGACCGCAAGCCATCTGAAATTGACCTCCAGTAATGTTTCCATCTTTTGCGCGGAGTGACAATCTTCCACAACTAAATTAAAATAGTAAAAGTAGGGTTGTTGACGACCGGTTTTAAAACCGGAATTTTTTAAAATTTTTTGCCAAAAATTAACCGTTTTTAGAAAATTTTAAAAACCGAAAATATGTGAAAATGAGTGATTTTATTAAAAATTCCCCCAAAACAAAACCAGTATTTGTCTAAACTCAAAACCGAAAACCGGGTTTGTAAATTTTGGATTAACCGAAAACCGGGGTTACCGGTTAATAACCGGTCATTAATAACACTAGTAAAAAGTTAAAAAATATATTAAACTAACATTTTTATCAATCTGTTAAATCTTTCATTCCCAATATATTCAGGTGGAATTTTTTCAAGTTGTTGAATCAAATCACTTGACGAAAAAACCACATCAGCCATTATAAAGAAAAAATTTTTCTATTTAAATTAAAATACAAAAAAGTAAAAACTAGAAAAAGTATAGATAATTAAATTAAAAATGAAAAGAATAAAAAATATTAATAAAATATTGACAATTATTATCCTCAAATTTAAAACTTCACAAAGGAATTTTAATTTTTAACTGTCTTATAATTATTTCAATAAACACATTATTTAAATGTCGTCAACGTTTGAAAGCATCACTTTTCCTTTCTCATCAGGTTTGAACGGAGGAGTTCCCATATATGGACAATTAGAACATCGAAAAGCATCGCCCAAGTAACACTAAAAGTAATTAAAATATAAAATTTATTGTAAGGAAAAAGGCTAACCCGAAGTATTTAAAAAGCTTACAAGGAACACTATCGAACTGTCAGTAAAAATTTTTGAATAGAAATTATATGTACAACGTGTAAAGCATGGTCGATAACCTATTGCCAAATTTTGGCACCTCCATTTCGAAAAGTTATAAAGGTTCAAAGTTTTAGATCTTTGGAAATATGTATGTATCTACACGATGGCATAAAATTGAAAAATTTTTCCAGAAAGTTCGATTGTGTTCCTTGTTAGGAGGGGGTTTAAGATAAAAAGATGGCAGCAGTCTAGAAATAAGGTCAGATAGAACTAATTTGATCGTGAGTTCCCAAAATTATTAAAAAAAATACATTTCCACAAGCAGATTTGAGCTGAGGCGCTTCCACCTTTTCATCTTCAACATCTTCTAATTCAGCCAAACCGCAGGTACAATTTTTGCAAGCCCGTTTCTTCTTTTGTTCGCCACCTTCCTTAGCAGGTCCACAACCTGTAGACATAAAATTTAATTTAAAAATTAAAAAATAAACCACTTTTTTGTTCTGGTCTTTCCAAATCTTTCGGTTCCAACAAAGCATCTTCATCTATCAAATCATCATCGCCAACAGCATTTTTCGTATTAACTTGCTCTGAAGTGGAATCAGGAGTAGGCAAATTAGATGACATCTTAATGAATTTATTTAATACTAAAAGAAATCTAAAATAAAAATTAAAAATATATAAATGCTCACAGACATTCTAAAAAATAAATTTAGAAATTTTTTTGCTTAAATATTTATTTACATCGTTGTAATATACTGGAAATTAGAACAAATAAAATGTACACAAAACAAATCACAAAAAAAATCAAGGGAGGTTATTTAAAATTAAAGAGGGTATTTGTTAATAAATATAGATTAACGGTTTAATGTGTTTTAAAGAAAAATTTTTTTTTAAATCATTTCCAATCCTTGTATTGCTTAAATATTTGACTAATTCATCCTCACTTCTCGTTTGTTTAAAAAAATAATTAGGCAACGATTCCGTGCAGAGCTAAAAAATAGAAAAAATAAATTTACAAGGAACTCTCATGAACTGTAAAATTTTGTATATATTCTTGCATCATCGTGTAGAGGGTCGAAAACCTATTAGGTTTTCTGCTTTTTTTTGTCCTAACCCCCATTTTGAAAAATTATAGGGGTTCAAAGTTTTCGACTTTTGGAGCAGCTGAGTCACCTTCTTTTTTCATATTAAAGAGGAAAGTGAGACAATGGTGCTCTACATGATAGTGCAAAAAAAACAAAATTTTCACATAAAGTTCGGAATGTTCCCTTGTTAAAATAATTTTAAAAAATCCAAACCATCAACCAAAGGTCTATTAACACTCTTCTCATCTTTATTTTTTGCTTCCTTATTTTTATTATCCAAATCCTCAGTTCCATTTGCATTATATTCTTTCTCTGCCCCAGGATCGTCCAAAACTTCTTGTTGTTTATCGAGATTAGCTGCTGCATGCAAAAGTTCTTTATGATTTGATAATTTATCACGCTTTTCTTCTTGTTCTGCCAAGTGGACACGACCACCGGGTTGTCGTTTTGGGAAATCTCCGTTCTGCTTTTCGTTTGTGCCATCATCTTTTGCATCAATTTCCCCAACTTTGTCGGGGGCTACAATTTGTTCACGTTGGGATCCTAAATAAATTTAAAGTAAATTTAGAATTTTTGGGTCAGAAATAGCATCGCCCTCATTTTAGACAACCTAAACTTCCAAAGTCTAGAAAATATAATTCGAATCTTTCAAAAAAACATATCCATACCTTTTTCACCAGCTTTTAAAGTGATGTTTTTAGGCGGTTTTCCCGTCTCGACAACTCCAATAGGACTGTTTTGAAGATTTGAATCGGGCAAAACTGACTTTCCAGAAGGCAAAACAGCGTCAGATTTTTTCAATTCTAATTGACTACGCAATCTAAATTTGAAAAACTCTCTATTAAAAAGGACATGATTAAAATAAACTGTGCGACTGTCGCTGTCAGCTCCGCAATTTTAGCAGCCTGTTCACTATTCTCGGACTCTTTTGCTTTCTTTTGTAAAAAATTATTTAAATTAAAAATTTCAAATTCTTACTAATGCAGAATTGGCTATTTCCAATTTACTTTTCAATTCTTTTAAAGTATTCTCACAATCGGCTTTATTCGTCTCGATTCTACCCAAAGATGTACTTTTATCATATAAATCCTTCTTGCATACTAAAATTTTTTTAAAATTTAACTGATAAATCCAACCAAAATTAACAAAAACCTTGAAGTTTGGCATCCAATTCATCTTTGCTAGACTTGCAATCAGCCTCTGATTTTGTCAATTCCTCAACTTTAACATTTGCATCTTAATAAAAATAAATAAAATTTGAATTAATAAATAAACAAAACCAAGTAAATCATTTTTTAGGCCCAAATGTTTAGAATTTAAATTTTCAAAATCAGCACGGAAAGATTGCAATTCACTGCTAGTGCTGAAATACAAATAAACTAGCGACAAAACAAAAGCAACAGAAAGTATTAAAAAGAATGTTGAAGAACTTTTTGAACAATAAGCAAATCCGTGTCCATTTCTAAAAAAATGATGGTATGAAATAAAAAAGAAGAAATTTACCTTCCAAGCCGACGATAATTTTGAGAAGATTCAGACATTTTAAATATTGACAATAAACTGGAATTTTAAAATAATTGGATAATTAGGCAAATATTTAATTAAAATATCGCGTGATAAACAGACAAAAACTTTAAAAACCCAGATTTAGAAAAGCATGAAGTTAGCAAGGTACTCAACAGACCCGTCTGATGAAAAGCGGGGTAGGGGACGATTCAGTATCGCCGATTCAGTATTTGGGCTTTTTGGCCATAACTTTTTGCTTGTCCAATATTGTAGGAATTATTATATATGATTTGATAGGCTCGGGGTGCTGCATCTTTTTCATAATTGGACTGAACTGATCTGATCATTCCACAAAAAGTTATCACTGATAAACGACGTCACAGGCATAAAAAATCGGTTTTCACGCTGTAACCTTTTTTGAGATCATCAGATCAGATCGGATCAATTATGAAAAAGATGTCGAATCTCGTGACCTTTCGATTGATATGAGAATTTTTCAAATCGGTCGAATATCAGGAAAGTTATGGCCATATACTGAATCGGCGATACTGAATCGCCCTTAATCGTACCGGACACTCTCGTTTCTTTTCCCTATTATATTTTGCTTTTGTTTGAGTAAACTTTAATTATTCGAAATTTATTTTTATTTTATAAGGTTGTTTCAAAGCAAAAATGAGCACTCGAAGAAAATCCAAGCCACAAAATATTCAAATCCAAGCAAGTTTCACTGAAGAAAATAATCAAAAGGTTCTATTAAATCTATTTGAGTTTTTAAAATTTTAATTCAAAAAAGTTTAGTCAAACCGAAAGCGAACTATTCAAGTCAGTCAAAACAACCAACAATCAGGACAAAGTTCTAGTGGGAGCCAACAACAATTTAATCGAGGGAGTAAAGTTGCTAAAACAAAGGTTCTATTGTTTTTTACACCTTTTGCCTATTTTTGGTTAGTGTTGATAGTAGAGACCGGCAAAATCGCGTTTGCGGGATCCCGCGGGATAGAATTTTTTTAAAAAATCTGCGGAATGGGATCCCGCGGGATAAATCCTGCACTCCCGCAAAATCCCGCAAATCGAAAAAGGCGCGGGATTGCGGGACGGGATCCCGCAAAATCCCGCGCAGGATTCCCGTGCCGGTCTCTAGTTCCTAGTTTCTGGGTGGGTTGTGAGTCCAATCGACCTTTATGAGTCCAATGAAAAGTTTTCTGGAACCAGAGTCAGAATCGATTCTTTTTCAAAATTTTGTTATCTCTCCTCAACCTTTTTTCCTTGACTTACAATTAGATCAAAAATCTAGACAATGATTGATTCTTTAATTTTTTAGATAATTACACCAAAGTTTTCTCTTCCACCTGAAGTGCTGCTTGATGTATTAAAATGCCTTGATTTCAACCAATTATTTTCTCTTAGACAAACCAACTTTTATTTTTGCAATTTAATTAATAAGTATGAAGTAGAATTGGCAAGAATGAAACTCAGTCGGCTCGCAAATATAAAACTTAGTTCTAAAGTCTTTCAAAACGCGACGAGAAAAGGAGGTGCGAATTATTACAAAATTTTATACCTCAAACAAATTTCCAAATAACTAATGAAAAATAATTTTTATTAAAGCAGTTTATTTTACAGGTGTTTAAATTTTTTTATTTATTTTAAGATCTTTTCGAAAAAATCCTTTTTTCGACATATCAAAACGCTAAATACGTTAGACTTCAATCTGGAATTTCTGAATTTACTTTAAATGATCAACTTAAGGAGAAGGTTTAATTAATTTTTAATTAAATTTCGTATTCATTTTTTCAGTGGCAAGCAGCACTAGAAAAATCAATTCCGTTGTATTTAAATCATTTAATAACTGAAAGGCCAATTCTTGTTAGAATTGTAACAATAGAGGGCGAAAGATATATTTTATATTTGCCAAACTTTCCAGAGGACATTGAAGACATGATTACTCTTCGTTGCTGGTTAGAACGTATATTTAATTGTGCTTTTGAACGTGCTTATCTTGGTTATAGCTTTAATCCAGAAATGATTGACATATTATTTGATGATGATAAGACGATTCCTCATCAGTTTCTCACTCAATGACTAAAATTTTATTTAATTTAAAAAATATGGTTTCTCATTGATTCGATCAAATTGCTTTTGTTTTAAAAGTTTATATATATTTGATTCATTTTTTAATCCTCAAACATTTACTCCCTCAAACATTTAAATGTTTGACGGAACTTAATGATTGACATAAAAAAGGAAAATTAATGAGACTCAAATAGGGGGGGGGATATGAACAAGGTACCAAAATTTTTTCTACAAAGGACATAAGTATCTTTAAGATCATAAGTACCCTTTGAGCAAGCTGAATCGTTTATAAGCTCTGATAACCATATTCTATCTTTGGAAAGTTAGTATATAAACATTTATTCCCATTTTATAATTCTATACATATGTTATGTTAACGAGATAAATATTTAATTAAGAAATGAGCTTTAAAAGTACAATACTTTGATGTAAATTCAAATACTTTTTTTTTCAAAAAATTTATTTCACATTTTATACAGCCACATTTTTTAAGTATAATTATTTTCTCCTCCCCATAACTCCATTTCCGAATCCTCCATAATTTCCCATAACACCTCCAAGTCCATTCGCACCAAGCATGTTTCCCCCATACATACCACAAATTCCACAACTTGTCATGCACGCCTCAGAAATCGACTAAAAGTAAATTCTGGTGAACTAGTTAAATAATTTCAAAATACTTCGAGAAAGCAGTATCGGACAAAATAACGGCAAGACGGGTCAAAATCTGTACAACCTAACAAGAATATTTCACTTAAAAATTCAATATTTAGCAAACCGAATGGAGAGCCAATTCCGCCTCCAATGCCGCCCATTCCACCAATACCATTAAGTCCTCCAACGCCTCCAAATCCTCCCATCCCTCCAATACCGTTTATTCCACCAAATCCTCCCATTCCCATCCCTCCTGGAACACCCATTCCGCCAAAACCTCCCATTCCTCCAATGCCTCCCATCCCTCCTGGGACACCCATTCCACCAAAACCACCCATCCCTCCCATGCCACCCATTCCTTGTTGACCAGCGATCATTTGTAGCATATCAGGGTTAGTTCTGCCTTGTGGAGTTTAAAAATATTTTTTGGGGTTCTTAGATTTTTTTAAATTTATATTTATCGTAAATGCTCTAATATGTATAAGCCCGGCTCTAATATAAGCCCACTCAAAGTGACCTCTGAAAAATATAAGCCCAGGGCTTATATCAGAGCATTTACGGTATTTATATAAGCTACTCACAACAAGCACCATAAATACAGGTTTCTGAAGGCGTCCAACAAAAATTGAGTCTAGGGCAGGCTTAACATGTATAAAAGAATTATTAATTAAACTTCAGGATTTGGTCTTTAATACTTTAATTTCTATACTCTACCCACATTTCAAAATTTAACTTACCTCCATTTGGTGTAGTACCGACTGGGCAAGGTGCTGCTTTAAATTATATAAAATATTAAATCATTAATGACAATAAAATAGTCACCAGGATTCATAGGTACAATATTCTTTGAAGGCTGACCTTGGCAATTAAAATGTGTTTTTTACAAATTTAACCAAAAACTTACAACATATTCCGTTTAAACACACCTCTCTTGGATCCATACATCTTGACTTTAGTAAACTATTACAACCTGTTAAAATTATATTTAATAGTTAAAATTTGCCCTTGTAAAGAAGAAAATTTTTTTTCTTGCAGGCATTTTTTGTTCTTTTTAATTTCCAAAATAATTTTAGTTATCAATTTTAGATATCAAATGGCTGTACTTTAGTACGTGGGTGCAGGCTTTAAATTACAAATGTTATATCATTTGAAAGAGCTGGTCGAGCTGAGTCGAATGCCACCAAAATTAGCTCTAGGAAAAATTTTTGAACCGAGATACAGGCGATTGAAAATCGAAAAACCATAGGGGGGACCAAGCACATTTTTGGGGTGAAAAATTCGAAAATGCAAATTATACCTCATTCGAAAGAGCTCGTCGAGCTGAGTCGAATGACACCAAAATCAACGAAATCCGACTTGAATGGACAAAGTTATGACCTTTTATTTTAGCTCCTTACATATGGCATCTGTTGATATTTTTGCTGCTACGGAGGCCCCAAATATGTCCAGAGCAAGGGATTTAGGAATAGGTTTATGTTACGAGCCCAGACCCATCGCCCGTAGACTCCCCGCGAGGCGCGTGCCGCAAAACCCCGCGCGAAGCGCGGGGTTTTGCACAAGCGCCTCGCCGACGCTCCATAGGTTTAGGTTTTTTGTGTCATAACTTTGTCTAATCTTGTCCAATCACGGTGATTTTGGTGTCATTCGACTCAGCTCGTCGAGCTCTTTCGAATGAGCTATTACTTGTATAAAAAATTTTTTATTCCAAAAATCGCCCTTTTGGATCTTAGATTTTTAGGGGTCTATATCTCGGTCCATTCAAGTCGGATTTCGTTGATTTTGGTGTCATTCGACTCAGCTCGACGAGCTCTTTCGAATGAGGTATAATTTGCATTTTCGAATTTTTCACCCCAAAATCGAGCTTACTCCCACCTATGGTTTTTCGATTTTCAATCGCCTGTATCTCGGTTCAAAAATTTTTCCTAGAGCTAATTTTGGTGGCATTCGACTCAGCTCGACTAGCTCTTTCAAATGATATAACATTTGTAATTTAAAGCCTGCACCCACGTACTAAAGTGACCCCTATCAAATTATTAAATAATCATCTTTAGCATAAATATATTGGTTTTCTAATTCTTGCGTGTTGCTTCCGAATTAGTGGTCCTGTCCGAAAGATCGAGTCGGGCATCGAATTTTGGCCCTAAAAAGGCTCGGTCGGGCCGGCCTGATAAAAATGAAGCCCGAAAAATTACTCGAACAATCCCAACCCTATTCCGAATTTAACTTATTCCGAATCTCCTTTTAATTTTTATAATTCCTCACTTCCATCTTGCTCCCATCCCATAGGACAAACATTTTGATAAACGGGAGGGAATTGTGCGTGGACACAAAGACTTGAAATTAATAACGGGAAAAATAAATAAAAATGATTGGAGATGGGCAGGAGGTAGATTTTAATTAAAATTAAAATATTTGTTAGGCATTTATTTGGAATTATTGGCATTTAAAGGAGGGGATTAATTAAATTGAATGAAGAAATTAAAATAATTAGTCAATAAAAAATAAAGTGGGAAAATAATTGAGAAATTTTTGTAAAAGAATGTTTGAACAAATGGAGTAAATTAAATAGAAACTTTTAGGGAGAGAGAGGATTGTAGTAGTAAAAGGGAAAGGAGGATTGTAGCGAATTATTTAGATTTATTGAAGGCTTTATTTAAAATTAACTGAAATAAATTTAAAAAAATAATTAAAATGCCAAAAATACATTTTGTAAAATATTTTCTTTTTTTTTCTTTAAATTGGATGGTTCAAAAGGAATTGACTAATTACATGATCCATTTGTGGAGCTCGCCATTGTGGGGCCTTAAAATAAAAATTATTTTTGTAATTTTAGATTTTAAAAGGTTTTTAAACCATATGTCCAGCACCGCGAACTGAAAAAAGTGAGAATTAAATGGAGACAAGAGCTGGGGATTGATATCATGATAACCGAGATGTCATCCCTTCTAGCCCATTTAAAGACTACTGTAAATAGGGTTGGGGGTCCGGTCCGAAAGATCGAGTCGGCCATCAAATTTTGGCCCGAAAAAGACTCGGTCGGACCGGCTCAATAAAAATGACTAGAACGTCGGCCCGACTCGAAAACCCCAACCCTAACTATAAAATAACCAAAAATTAGGCACTCCTCAAATTTTAAATTTAATTTTTAAAATTATGAGTGATCATTGGGTGGAGAGATCTGCCCAAACATCCCCCCCCCCATTTAAGCTACATTTCATTATAAGATACGATCTTTTCGTCAGAGTACATATTATAGTGAGGTTTGAGCTAAATTTTAATATAAAAATTCCTTGCCAGTAACAAAAGTAAGCCCTTTAGCATAAATTGTTTTAAATCCAGCAATTTGATGTCCATACATCCACGGTTGTTTACCAACAACTAACTTTAAAATAAATTTTTTTAAAATTTTAATTCAATCAAAAAAAGGACTTTTAATCCCAATTTCGAACAAAATTCTTGTCCAAGCATAAAATTACAAGCCATATCAGTATCCCCATAATACAAAAGCACTCGAGCATGGGCTTTAATTATTTTCTTAACAAATGGGGATGTGTCATCTAAAAAACTTAAAATTAGAGAAAAGTCTTCTATCAACAATAACCAATTTGCTTCTGATATTTTTCTGTTATATCATCACTGCAAATATCCCAATGTCCCAAATTATCAGGAATGTGTATAGCCTTTCGAACTAATTTTAAATTAATCATTTTCTTTTAAATAAAAATACACCTTCAGGTAAATTCATATATGTAGTTAATGCTGTATCTAAATTAGTTTTTAAATTTATTTTGTTTACATTCAAGCTAAGGTTGGCGGATCTGGATCCGAAAAAAGGCCGGATATCCGGAAATTTTAGGTTCTGATATCGGATCCGGATATCCAAAGAATTCCAACTACCCGCCAGCCTTATTTCAAACATCAATTTTAGATACATCCAAATATTAATAGATTGGCCTAGATTTAATTTGGATGACTATTAAATTGGGAAGATCTCATTGTGTATAAGACAGGGCTAGGCTAATTTCGCATCTTTCACATTTTTAAGCGCCAAAAGTTTCGCAATTCGCCTTTTATTTTTAGATTTCGCCCAGCCCTAGTATAAGGTATGATTTTAACTTCCTTATGGGGGTATCTAAATAAAAGAGAGTTCAAATGTTTCTACTTGTTGGACAAACCGTTAAGACAAGGAACTGAAGGAGATCCATGAAGAGTACTCTTTAATTGAAATTAGAAATTAATTCTTTTTTTATAAAAAAAGGACCTTAAGATTCCATCGAAGTGTTTTAGTTGAATTAGAGTAAATACGGTGTAGCATTTGTGGTGGAATTAATCCTCGTTTAATTACTTCCATTTTCATTGAATTACGTCCGGGACTTGGATCTTTAAAATTAAAGAATTTTTTAGTGAAAACTACAGCCTCAGGGCTTTTACTAGATTAATGAAAGTTGGATTTAAAAAATTTGCACCCGAGCATTCGGGATATAGCCCTATAGTAGTCCTGCCTTACAAAACATTTTCGGCAATTTTGAAGTTCGTATCCCCCCCCCCTCTCTTTTTTTCTAAAGGTACTAAAAATGGTCAATTCCTTCTTTCCGTCGATCTTTCAAAAGAATGTAGACCCATAAAAATTATTTTCGAACGAAATCTCGCCTTAATGCATCAGTTAAAATTTCTTTAAAAAACTTGCCACAATCTCTATATAAATCATAAGGATTAAGACCGCTATGCCACAAAAATTCAAAAATATCTTCCACCTTAAAAAATATTCTTATTTTTTTAATTTAAAATTTCCCTCCTAACCATCCTCCCACAAGATTGGCCAAGTCCTGACAAATCACAGCCATCTAAAAAATAATTTTTGTATTTTAATTCTAAAAATTTCCCCTTTACCAATACAGCCTCGACAACATTCCATTTCTAAAGTATTCCAAACTTTTTGGTCAATTATGCCGTGACCGTAGGCAAACCGGACAGATGTGTCAATATTCATTTTTGAGTTCATATAACCATTGCCAATAGCCATTCCCTTTTGGAGAAATTAAATTTTAAAAATTGTTTTTGGTAGCTGGACACCTTTATAAGGTAACCCAAATACTAGATAAACCACAGATTATTAAAATTTAGTTGGCCGTTAGGTGGAGGGGGCAATCCAAGTAATACTCTCTATTTAAGATAAACACTAGAAAGCAAGATTTTCAAAAAACCTTGACCTTGATCTTAATTTTGGTAGGGTACCTTGACCAGATTCTTGACTTGAGTCAAGGAAAAATCAAGGAACTCTGAAAAATGCCTTGATCTACACTTTGGATCCAGGAAAAATCAAGGTCTGGATCCAGATCCAGCCCGCTCTCTAATAAAAACATTATAAAATTAACTTCAAGAGATGTACTTAGTAGTCCAACACTCTCTCTCTTTTACCTTAAGATTAATTGGGAATTCCCCCTGTCCATCCACAATTCTCGCCCCAAGAGTAGGCAAATAAACACCACCATAAGACTCTCCAGTAATATATACAGAATGATTACGGAAAGTATTGTGACGTCCAAAGAATTGTTTAATGGCCTCGTAATTCTCCAAAGATGTCTAAAAAATAAAGAGAAACACCCCTTTACAAAATTCCCAAATTTACTAAATCGTCGTTTGTTGTTGTATTTCCGTCAGAGGAATATGAATACCCGACACCGGCTGGGGCCTCAATAAACACGATCGATGCATATTTATTCCAAGAATAGGGGTTTTTGTTTAAAGTTTTCCCATCCTCCCCAACAATATAAGGGCCTAATTCGCTAAGTAATCCATCCAAAGAAGAACATCCTGGGCCCCCATTAAACCAAAAAATCTGCAATTGAAAGAATTGTTTGTATTTATATTTAGGGTTTCTTGAATAACCAATGGATCTTTGAGTGGATTTCCTTGAGAAGTGACAAACCAATAATGAAGAAAATGATTAGATGAGACTTTCAAAAATCCTAAAATTTAAAATATAAGAGCAGTTAAATTACAAAAATAGCAAGTTTTTGGGTTTTAAGCAGACAAAAATTACTTAAAAATTTGTAGAATTAAATTACCCGAATAATGCTTAAAATTTAATTCAAAGTTAAGGCCAGGTAAGGAAACAATAGCATCTTTCTCTTCTCCCTCATTATTTTCGTTGTTATTGTTTTCATTTTGCAAAATATCCTCCTCCAAAACAAAAAATCTGTCGACTATTTTGCTTTTTCCAAAAGTCAAAGAAATTAATAAAAACAGCAAAAATAATTGAAATTTGCGGAAAAACATTTTTTTAATTAACTAAAGAAAAATATTAATAGGTAAAATTAATAGGTTTCCTCAGAAATAAAAAATTTCCATTACTGCTTCCTTTTCTACATTGATTGACCTATCAACGTTTTGACCTATTATGTAACATTTTTTGCTTCTTTAATATCAGTCTCAACTCACTTCTTTGTAACTCATAAACTAAACTTTTATTCACAACACTCTTATCCTTCCTTGTAAACAAAATAAAAAAATGAAGGACACATAAAAATGAAAGTGTTAATTTTGGCTTAACAATGCTAAAACCAATTAACGTTCAAAAAGTTGATTGCAATAAGTGGTGAAATTAAAAATGAATACACACTACCCAGACATTCTTAACTTTTTATATTGGCTTTTAATGTAAATATCCCCTAAAGAAGATTGATTTATTTTAAATGTTTTTTTTTCACTTGTATAGGAAAATAACAACTGTTACCAACTTTGTTTAATTAAAAGTAATTAATGGACAGTAGAAAGGGCCAAAGAGCAAAAGAATATTTGCAGTCCTGTATGCCGACATTACATATTAACTGATTAACTTTTATTTCACAATTCTTCAGAACTTTAATAAAAATTATCAAAGCTCGGCCAGTCCAAAAAAAGTAGGTACTTTTCCATTATACACCCGCAATCTGAGTGCCAGTCGAATTTGATCGGCTATAACTTTTTGTCGCTTAATCCAATCAGAGGTGGGTCGGAAATCGGAACTGGCTCAAAAGTCTGAACTTGGAAATCAAAATATTTTTCGAAAACGGAAGGAAATTTTTCAAAAATTTTGTAAATTTTTTTATCGGCTCAAAAATTTTTCTTTGATTTTTTGAAAAATATTTTCCTCGAAAATCAAAAATTTTTCAAAAATGGAATTTTATTAACATTTTTGCATTGGGGCTGAAATTTATGAACTAAAATATAAATTATTCGGCATTTTTGAATTTCTTGCCCATTATGTCGAAGTTTTTTTGCAAACTATTTCTTTATTTTTACGACCTATTTTCCTATTTTTGTCACCTATTTTAGCATTTTATACAACCTATTTAGGTACCTATTTTAAGGTTTTTACGACCTAAAAATCCGATCCCTATTTATTACTTTTGGTTAAATTCAAAAAAAAGAGAAAAATAATTAATTTATTTGTTAAAGCACAAGATAAATTAAATGGCGGATATGTTAAGTAATTTAAAACAAATAAAAGTTGAGATAATTTAAATTTTGTTAAAAAATAAATAAAAAGTTGCTAGGGGTGGAAATAAATATTTTTAAAATTAATTTATTTCATTAATTATTTATCCAGCAACTTTTTATATATTTTCAAGGAAAGGTTGCGAGGTGTCCGAGCTAAAAACGGTCGAGAACGGGCTCATTCGATAGAGAATGTGCCTTTTCTAGCAAGGATTTTTTGCCGTTTTTGCCCGTTTTTTGATCTGGCCAAAATATGGCCCTCCAAAGTCGCAACCTCTCCTTGTTAAAGATTTTCAAGTAAACAAAATTTTCTTTAGTTTAAAGGCAAAAGGAGGATAAAAGGCAAAAACACAAAATTTTTTGGTAATTTTTAAAATATGTAAAAATATTTAATTGGGCGCTAGGTAAATTAAAAAAAGATTTTTTCTAAAATCCAAATAGCCCAATTAAATAAAAATATTTTTAATATCGTTTTTCTTGTATTAAATAAAAAATAAAAATTACTTTAATTTTTCTCCAACAAATTAAATAACCGAACATCTTCGCCTCTTTTTTGGCCGTGGAGTAATTACTGCACGAACAGCTTCTTCAAATACACTAGGAAGGCCTTGTTGGGTTAAAGCGCTTTAAAAATTTTTAGAAATGAAATAAAATAAGAGAAAGAAAAAACCTGCATTCACAATAAGCATAAGCTTTAATTTTAGCAGCAACTTTTTGGCACTGGGCCCGAGAAATTACTGTTTTCTTCTCGTTTTGTAGCGCCCTTAAAGTTGCGGGATCGTCTCTTAAATCAATTTTAGTGCCTGAAATGAGGAATATATTTTTGAAATTTTTATAAAATCCCAAAAAAATATTTTGAGGGAAAAAATGGGATTTTAGGTAATTTTGAATTTCATAGGCGGAGTTTGGTTCGGAACAGAATCGAAGATCCGAGGATTTTTCGGTTCGGTTTCAGATATCCTAAATTTTCCAAAAACCGACAACCCTACCTATAAACCTTAATTTCTGTTACAATAATTATGAATCTGACTGAATAAAATTACTCTTTTCTGAATGATTTAGTTGTTGATTAGCAAAAGGGGAGTTGATGAGAAAAAGAAAATGGGGTCAAGGTAATAAATATTAACACAAGATTTTAACCACCAAATTTAAAAAAAAAGAAAAACCAACCAACAAGAACAATAGGAATCGATTCAGTACAATATTGCCTAATTTCAGGAATCCATTTAGTTATTACATTATCGAAAGAAACTAAAAAAATTAAAAAAAAACATTTTTAAATTGGAAAAACCTGGAGAGACTACACTAAAACAGAGAATAAAAACATCCGTTTGAGGATAACTTAAAGGCCGTAATCTGTCATAATCCTCCTTAAATAATTTTTAAAAAATATTTTTGTTTAATATTTATTGTCAAAAACCTGTCCGGCAGTATCCCAAAGCCCCAAATTAACAGAATGGCCGTCAACGGTTATTGGAGCCGAATAATTGTCAAAAACGGTTGGAACATATTCTCTTTAAATTTTGAAATTTAATTTAAAAAAAAAGAAAAAACCTGGGAAAAGAATCTGTGGTATACGAAATAAGCATACAAGTCTTCCCAACAGTACCTAAAAATAAATAAAATTAATTAAAAAATAATTAAATACCATCCCCTACAACAACACATTTAATTTGTCTAACAGGCGAAGACATTGAAATTTAAAAATAAATATAGTTAATAAAATAATGCAAAAGTATTGTGTAAAATTGAGCAAATTATCTGAAAATAATTTTAAAAGGGAAAAATTTCGGAATACTAAACAGAACGCAAATGGGTCAAAATATATGTCATTCGAAAGAGCTCGTCAAGTTGAGTCGAATGGTGAAAAAATTTTCGTGCGGACTCATACAGGGGCTGAGATATAGGCCCCCGAAAATCGAAAAACCATAGGGGGGACCAAGCACTTTTTTGGGGTAAAAAATTCGAATATGCAAATAGTAGCTTATTCGAAAGAGCTCCTCGAGCTTAGTCGGATGACACCGAAATCATCGTGATTGGACAAGTTTGGACAAAGTTACGATAGAAAAACAAAATACCTAAACCTATGGCGCGTCGGCGAGGCGCTTGTGCAAAACCCCGCGCTTCGCGCGGGGTTTTGCGGCACGCGCCTCGCGGGGAGTCTACGGGCGCTGGGTCTGGGCTCGTAACATAAACCTATTCCTATCTCCCTTGCTCTGGACGGATTTGGGGCCTCCGTAGCAGCAAAAATCTCCACAGATGCCATAGGTAAGGAGCTAAAATAAAAGATCATAACTTTGTCCAATCAAGTCGGATTTCGTTGATTTTGGTGTCATTCGACTAAGCTCGAGGAGCTCTTTCGAATGAGCTACTATTTGCATATTCGAATTTTTTACCCCAAAAAAGTGCTTGGTCCCCCCTATGGTTTTTCGATTTTCGGGGGCCTATATCTCAGCCCCTGTATGAGTCCGCACGAAAATTTTTTCACCTTCGACTCAACTCGACGAGCTCTTTCGAATGACATATAGTTTGACCCATTTGCGTTCTGTTTAGTATTCCGAAATTATACCTTTTAAAAGAAGTAAATTTTAATAAACTTCATATTGATAAAATAAAGAAATTAATGATAGCATTATCAGCCCTTTGACGCGCCTACAAATCCGGTACACATTTATTACTCATTCTAGTTACACAATCTAAAAAAGTAATTAAAGATCAACTGATAAAAAGTATCAAAGGTCACTTGGACTTTTTAAGAGTATACCAATTGAAATATTTAAACAGATTTACCATTTCAAAGCGCAAGGGACGATTCAGAGTATCCGTTTCAGTGTAGAAATTTTTAAGCCATAACTTTTTTTTCATTATTTCAAGACTTTTTTATGATTCAAAGGCTCGAGATAAAACATCTTTCTTATAACTAGGCTGTCTGATCTGACCATTCTACAAGGAGTTTTAGCAGAAAATAAGTTTTCAGCTTTAGCCTTTCGTAGAATATTCAGATCAGTCTAATTATGAAACCGCGACTCGGAACCTTTGAATGATGTTAAGATTTATTTTAATTTAGTGAACTGCAAATCGACTTTTTCGTCGATTCGCGGCGAATAACTACTTTTATTCGCGAACGACTTATTTTTAATACACAATGCCAGAACTACGTAAATATCGATGTTTTACGCCAAACGATTGCGAATCGACTTTTTTGTATCTCTTTTTCTCTAACTTTCCATTATATTTCCTTCCTCTTTTTCTATTACTTTTCGTTCGTCCGTGCCCGCTCAAAGGATAGATGAATCAAAGGATAGATACGGCTAAAATCGATCAAAGGATAGACGCGGCCAAAAGCTGCTAAAGGATAGATAAGGCAAAAATCGATTAAAGGATAGATGCAACAAAGGATAGATGCGCTAAAGGATAGATAGGGGTAAAATCGATCAAAGGATAGATTAAAAATATTTAATTTAGGAATGTCAAAAATTCATTTCAAATTTTTATTATATCTTTGTTAATATTTTATATTTTTAATCTTATTTTCTTTATTCCAACTAATTAAAATGAATATACGACCAAAGCTTGAAAAATTGCAAAAATCTCGTAAAAGACGCTTACCAATTAATGACACTTCAGTGTTAAGTGAACTGCAACAGCATGAAGCAAATCCGGAAAATGAAGAGAATTCCGAAACAAATCTCATTAAATTTGAACAAGGAAGTACGCAGATGGGAGCTGTTAGTCTGTGGTATAGAGGTTTGATTTAGAGATTAAATCATTAAAAATTAGATATTTTGAGGATATCGATATGTCAAGAACAGAAATATTTGGTGGAAGTGTTCAAATAAGGACTGTCAAGCATACGCAAAAGCAGAGGAGAAAGATGGTCAATTTTCAGGTACTTTAGGAAGAAATGAACATAATCATCCTCCTGCAATACAAAAAAAAAGTTGTGAAGAGATTAGAAATAAATTGAAAAAAGATAATCGACCAATTTTGGGAGAAGTGCGAGCAAATATTCCGGATGAAGTTTATATAGCTTTGGGTTCATTATTTTTACTAGTTCATTATTTATTTATTAATATTTTACTTTTTTAGTCATATTATTTTACTTGCTTTTATTTTACCTATGATTCTATTCTTGATTTGCTTGTTTTGATTCGGTGCTTTAAATAAAATTTTATTTTAGTTTTTCTAGCGAAAAATCCAGCTGGTTAAATTTTTTGTCCAGACTCAATCGACCTATACCACTGTCTATCCTTTGATCGATTATGGCCGTATCTATCCTTTAGCGCATCTATCCTTTGATGCATCTATCCTTTGATCGATTTTGGCTTTATCTATCCTTTAATGCATCTATCCTTTGATTTATCTATCCTTTGTAGGGGAGCCCGTTCGTCGTGTCTCTCCATTTGCAATTTTCCATTTGTATCAGGGATGTCACGGGTTACCCGAAACCCGATACCCGAGACCCGAAACCCGGCCTTTTTTTCGACCCGATACCCGAAACCCGATCCGAGAAATTTTCTAAAACCCGACCCGAAACCCGACCCGAGAATTTTTATTTTTCAAAACCCGATCCGAAACCCGACCCGAGTTTTCTCAAAATTTTCGCCCTCGTCGGAGAAAAAGGGAAGATTTTTAGCTTAATGATCTTCCAAAATTCTGAAAATTTTCGCCTGCGGCGCTGAAAAAGGAAGAAATCTGGCTTCGGACCTTCCAGAATTCTCAAAATTTTTGCCTGCGGCGCTGGGAAGGGAAGATACCCGGACTTTTTTTCGACCCGAAACCCGAAACCCGATCCGAAGAAAATTTTGAAAACCCGATCCGAAACCCGACCCGACTTTTTGCTCAACCCGATACCCGAAACCCGATCCGAGAAAAATTTTGGAAACCCGACCCGAAACCCGACCCGACATTTTTCTCAACCCGTGACATCCCTGATTTGTATAAATGTTCAGTCCCTTTTCTGTAATTTTTAGGGATTTTTCCAATATATTCTTACTAGATGGATGATTTTGAAAATGAATTAAGAGTCGCGATTTTGAAAATGAATTAAGAGTCGCATTCGAAAGCGGCGATCTGTGACACCGTCATCGAAACGTCGAAAATCCGATATCCTTAAGGGATTAGATCTAGGAAGTCCGAAGAGTTAAAACGGCCCACAGTGCAAAATCCCCCAAAATGGCCCAACTGGTAAAATACCCTAAAAATTGAAATTTTTGGAAAGGAACTGATTTATTTTTTTGTTTTAAGCATTTTCTTTGTTCTTTAGATGGTCTACCATAAGAATTAGCAATAATCAACAACAATTATTAACGAAAAAAGATAATTTTTATGGAAAATTTAGAATTTTTTCTATTCTTAAAAATTTTTAAATTTCTTCAATTTTCTTAATATCTCAAGACGGCGAGAATTCTACAATTAATGGCGAGGTTTCTACTACAGACATAAGGTTTATTTTTTAGATTTTTGGCTTTTTGAATTTTTTTAATTTCCCCATTACAAGGGGGAGCTATAGCCCCATAAGCCCCTTGGCCGTTATCCCCTACGTATTTTTGCGGCCTTTTTTGGGAAGATTTCTTACTTCCCCCAATTCAACTTCCCACTCCATTTTTTTATTTTAAAATTTTTTAAATTTAAGATAATCCAGTCCTAGACTTGTTTTTACTTGTGTCGATCAGATTGCTGCTGATGCCTGGTGACCTTGATATGTGAAGTCTTCAACCTTAACCCAAACGGCCCTCTTTAGGGCCACAATTTTAATAAGTCATTGTTTAATAAGTCATTGTTACAATCATTGTTTAAAGATGAATAAAATTTTGTTATTTATATTTTTTTAACTTTAGAAAACGATTACCTAACAAAAATTGCAAATGGAGAGACACGACGAACGAAAAGTAATAGAAAAAGAGGAAGGAAATGGCTCCGGTACAAAATATGGAATCGTTAAAATATGGAATGGTTAAAATCGCGAATAGGCTAAAAAGGGGTTAAAATACCGAATCGTTAAAATATGGAATCGTTAAAATATCGAATCGGGTAAAAAAGGGTTAAAATATGGAATCGTAAAAATATGGAATGGTAAAAATGTCGACACGGCCAAAATGGGTCAAAATGTCGAATTCTTTTAAAAACGGGTCAGATTTGTGCCATACGTTGATTGTTGATAATTTTATCAACATCAGTTTATTGATGATAAGTTGATTGATAAGTTTGGTAAGTCGTAGTCCGTCGTAATCTTTTCTGTCTGAGTTCACTGTACTTTACCGAGTAAAACCGGACCGGATAAATCAAGCATAATCGACCGGATCCGGTCCGGCATGATCGTACGGATCCGGAAAACATAACGCGATCCTGATATGGAAAAATTAGAGTGGTATGCATTAGTTTTTAGTTAAGACCTAAAGTTTGTACCTTACCGTATACGGTACGGAATACCGAAAAATAACGGTCAGCTTTTAAATTTTATCGGTCGGCATTCCGTACCGTACAACCGACACGGAATACCGAAAAATACCGTCGGTATTACGGTAACGCCCGGATTCAAGGTTTTGGCGCATCTTTAAAAAAATTCGACATTTTGACCTATTTTGGCCGTGTCGACATTTTATCAATTCGATATTTTAACGATTCCATATTTTAACCCTTTTTTAGCCGATTCGATATTTTTACCATTCCATATTTTAACGATTCCACATTTTAACCCCTTTTTAGCCTATTCGCGATTTTAACCCATTTTTACCCGATTCGAGATTTTAACCCTTTTTTAGCCTATTCCATATTTTAACGATTCGATATTTTGTCCGGACACGAAGGAAATATAATGGAAAGTTAGAGAAAAAGAGATACAAAAAAGTCGATTCGCAATCGTTTGGCGTAAAACATCGATATTTACGTAGTTCTGGCGTTTTGTATTTTAAAAAAAGTCGTTCGCGAATAATTGTAGATTTTTTTGAAACGACTTTTTTTCCTTAAGAAAAAGTCGATTTGCAGTTCCCTATTTTAATTGAGTTTTGAAAAATTTTACGTTGTAATTTTTAGTTTTAAGATAATATAAAATAATGGCTACATCAAAGCCAACTATGTTGGAGAAGCTTGTAAGAAATCTTGCTGTTTTATATCGTTACCACATTGTGCAAAAAGGGCCGCGTCGTATGGAAATGCTTAAAAAGGTTTGGGAACGTGAACTGGCTCCACCAACGCCAAAAGATTGGCCTCAGGTTTATTCACTTAATCCTGTTGATATTTTTAAAATCTTTCCAGATCAAACAAGATTTTGCACTTTTGGTCAAAAAAATCGAGACTGAGGCTTATCGCGAGTTGAAAGTTAAGGTAACTTGAATATTTTTTCTTTTGTTAATTGTCTTAATTTCTTAAAAATTAAAAAGACTTTTGAAAAATAAATCTCATTTTTAAGGAATTTTTGGTTTATTCTTTTGTTGGTTTGGAAGTTTTCCTTTGGTTCTTTGTTGGAGAGCAAATTGGTCGGTGGAACATGTCAGGCTATGTTATCCCAGCAACCTATCTTGACCCGGTATATTTTGGAAAATTGAAATTTATATAGTTAAGGAGCTTTACTTATTCACCTAATCGAATTGTTAATCAAGAGGGTTCATCGAGCTGGGTAGATAACACCAAAATTGGTCGGTGGGGACGAGCCGAATTAAGATGCTAACAAAAAAAGGCAATTTCGGAGTCATTTGTTTATTCTCGGTGTTTATCGACTTATTCATGTCAGCTTGATGAGCACTTTCGAATGACATAATTTACGGTAATATTGAACGGGACAGACCCCTTTTTTCCTCTCCAATTTTTCCCTATATTTTCTTCCGTTTACTTGTTTTTGGCATGTACTTGCACTTATATAAAATTAAATAACCCTATTTGTTTGATTGTAGGCAAAAATTAGAAAGGTAATTTGGATGGAAGAAAGGAAAAGTAGACCATTTTGCAAAAATATAGGGGAAAAATTGTGGAGAAAAAAGGGGAACTGTCCAGTTCAATATTACCAATTTACCTAGTTTATGCCTTAAAAACCATATAAATTTCTGTTTTTGACATTCATTACAATTTACAAAATTTTTATATTTTAAGAAAGCAGTTAAATTTATGAAGAACTACAAGCCTGAAGACAAGACCGAATTGGCTTAAGTTTTTAATAGGATTAGTGATGAAGAATATTTTGTTAGAGATTTAAATTGTATTCATTGTTTGTCAATTTTATTCAGCTCATAAAGACGAATAAAAAGTTGAATAGGAAATGGAAATACATGAATTTGAAATTTCATCCATTTTTTGGATTATTTTTTAGTCTCTAAAGTGATTACACTGTGAATCCATTTCTCGATTAATCATAATGTTTAGGAAAATTTTTGCTTGGCAGGGATATTCTCACTCACCGAAACATATACATTAATAAAGATTAATATTTCCAGATTTATCTGAAATAAAATGTTTTCTAAAAATATACCGTTATTAAAATTTTATCATAAGAGAAATATGTTTTGTCCTACACAGAATATAAGGAATTATTGAATATTAAGCAATTTTTAATAGAAAAAACTAATTTTAGTCCCTCTCCCGATTCTTTTAGTATAAGCATCTTATTCTTTGTTCACTGAAGTTGTCCCACCCCTCGGATAGTATTTATCAAGAATTTTGGCTGGAATTCGTTTAAGCATCTAAAAATAAAATAAAAATTGAGTTAAAATCAAATTAGAAAACCTCTCTTGGAAAAATACGCAAAAGTTGCCAGCCAACATCAAGTGAATCAAAAATAGTTCTGTTCTCATAATTTCCTATAAAAATATTTAAAATTAATTTAAAGAATAAATAACCCTGTGAGATAAAATTCTTTTCAAATTTTGTCAAAAATTCCAAATAAAGAAGATCGTCTGAAGAAAGAGCTTCTTCACCGACAACAGCCTTCATAGCCAAAACATCTTTTCCGATTGCATAGCACATATATAGTTGATTGGATACATCAGCGTGGTCTTCACGTGTCATTCCTTAAAAAAATAAATTTTTCTAAAAATATTTTTAATTATGGAACCTTCTCCTATAGCCGATTTCATTAATCGAGAAAGTGAAGGGAGCACATTAATGGGTGGGTAGATTTGTCGGTTATGAAGTTGTCGGTCGACGTAAATTTGTCCTTCCGTGATATATCCAGTCAAGTCAGGAATTGGGTGGGTAATATCTAAAAGAAACGTTTTAAAAGGGAAAGAAATCTGGCATCTAACAAACCGTCGTTTGGCATACTGAGAATTGGAATTTGTGTAATAGAACCTTTTCGTCCTTCTACTCGCCCAGCTCTCTCATAAATAGTAGCCAAGTTTGTGTACTAAATAAAAACAATAGATTAATAGTCCAATCAGGCCCGTAGCCAGGCTATTCTTTCGGAGGGGGCCAAGGGGGGATTAGGCGCAGTTCCCCCCTGGCTACGTGCCTGACAAAGGAGAGGCTTTTGGGTGTCCGTGGGACTTCGGGATGAAATTTGGTAGACAGGTAGAGCATACCATTTCTATTGTAAAACTTGAAACCGTTTCCGCTGAATGGTACCAGGGACCGAGTTATAAGCCCCCAAAGTTTTAGGATCCCCTTCAGTTTTCTTTTCTACATATAAACCATTTCTTTTTATTGTCTAATGTGTTCTGCGGTGGCGCAGTGGTAACGTTCTTGAATTTACTTTTTTTCCACAGGTTCGAATCCTGTTAGGGGAAATTAATTTATTTTAATATAATTTTGCTTTTTTTTTGAAAATTTTATTTTAAAATTTCTAATTTTTTTTTAAATTTTTTTATAAATTTTCAAGGAAAGGATAACTATAAGACTTTTTCTGGAACAACCTGGGAATGAATAAAGGGAAGAAATAAATATTTAAAAAAATTAAAAAATAAGTTTTTAAAATTTTTTTTGACTAAAAACATAGGATAAAAATCACAAAATTAATAAAAGACTAAAATTACCTATTTTAAAATAAATTAATTTTCCCAATAAGGATTCGAACCTGTGGGAAAAAAAGTAAATTCAAGAACGCTACCACTGCACCACCGCAGAACACACTCACAACTGAAAAGAAATTGTTTATATGAGCAAAAGAAAACTTTGGGGGCTTATAACTCGGTCCCTGGTACCATTCAGCGGAAACGGTTTCAAGTTTTACAATAGAAATGGTATGCTCTACCTGTCTACCAAATTTCATCCCGAAGTCCCACGGACACCCAAAAGCCTCTCCTTTGTGAGTCCAATTTTCATACCATATATCCAGGAAATCCACGACGTCCAGGTACTTCCTCTCGGGCAGCGGAGACTTCACGCAACGCCTCAGCATAATAAGACATGTCTGTAAGTACGACAAGGACGTGTTTTCCACACTGATAAGCCAGAAATTCTGCACAAGTCAAAGCCAATCGAGGGGTGATTATTCGCTCGATCGTTGGGTCATTGGCCAAATTGAGAAAGAGGCAGACATTCTCCATAGACCCATTCTCTTCAAAATCTTGTTTGAAGAATCGTGCTGTTTCCATGTTTACACCCATTGCAGCAAAAACGATAGCAAAGTCATCAGTCTCCCCTTCTTCTCCACCATGTTTTTTATTGGGCAATTTTACAAGCCCTCCTTGTCGTACAATTTGGGCAGCAATCTAAAAACAAATTAAGAGAAATTCATAATTCAGTTACTTCATTGTGTGGTAATCCAGCAGCTGAAAAAATTGGGATCTTCTGTCCACGTGCAATACTGTTCATCACATCAATTGCAGAAATTCCAGTTTGAATCATTTCCTCCGGATAAATTCGAGACCAAGGATTGATAGGCTTTAAAAGAAATTTTATTGATGTTATATGAGAAATACCTGGCCGTTAATATCCAAATAATCTTCAGCTAGCACATTTGGCCCTTTATCAATTGGCTTTCCAGAACCATTAAACACACGCCCAAGCATATCTTCCGAGACAGGAGTTCGAAGAATTGTGCCAGTAAACTCACATATAGTATTTTTAGCATCAATTCCTGATGTCCCCTCAAAAACCTAAAATTTAAAAATAAACCTGCAGACTTGTTATCTAATATACCTGTACAACAGCTTTGTCCTTTGTAACCTCCAATACTTGCCCAGTTCGTTTCGTTCCATCAGGTAAAGTTAAACGAACAATTTCATCATATTGTGGAAATTTCACATCTCCCAGAATGACCAACGGCCCATTAACTCCAGTAACAGTTTTATAAACTAAAAAATATTAGACAAAAAATATTCAAATTAATACAAACTTAGGTGGGGCTGTGTATTGTAATTACGAATTGGAGCGGCTTTGTCACCAGTAATTGCTTTATTAACATCAACAGCTGCTGCAGCCATCTTTAGAAAACAAAATATTAAAACCTTAAATTATGATTGAAGTTTATAAATTTTAGTTGACGAAACAATATTCGCGATTATTTTACTGCGAGAACGACAAAAGATTAAAGATCATTGTTTCGACACGGTTAGAGAATAGGGGGACACGCCCGAATAGTCGTGCGGCCATAAGGTCGCCAAGCCATAACTTGCTTTTAAATTTCCGAATCTTTTCAAATTTAGTATTAAACTATTCCTCTCATCGAGCTAAAGAGATTGGTATCAAAATTGATAAGGTTCAGATATTTTCCAGTTAGTTATGGCGTGGCGACATTATGGCCGCGCGACTATTCGGGCTGCACCCGAGAATAGGCCATTTAATCGCGAAGGGAAAAGTGAACGAAAATTTTGCAGAGCTACCAAGTAATCGCGCCAAATAATCGCTAGGCATTTTAAGGCAAATCTTGGCCTATCATTATCTTATAGCATGTTTTGTTTTCCATTTTATTATTAATTTTCTTTTAAATTTAGCCGGTATTTTTACTTAAATTTTGTTAAATTATTTTGCCAATTTTTATACGTGCTCATGTTCTGGCGTTCTTCACTATATCTCTCCTTTCGTCCAATACTGGTTTTTTAAAATTATTTTTTAATTAATTATTTTATTTTTACAGAATGACTTTTTGCAATATAGATTCTATGCAACTTTACAAAAAAATCCAAAAATTTTTCCTAGTGCCGCTGATGCCATTCGTGATATTCCAAGTGGAGCAACTCTTTTAGTTGGAGGTTTTTAAATAATTTTTAAAATTTAATTTAATCTGTTTTCAGGCTTTGGTCTTTGTGGAATTCCTGAAAACCTTATTTCTGCACTTGTGAATAGCCGTGTTGACAGTTTAGTCTGTGTAAGTAACAATGCTGGAGTTGACGATTTTGGGCTTGGATTGCTGTAATTAATTTTTTTGTCTAATTTTTACTTTTTTTCTAATCTTTAAGGTTAAAGTCAGGCCAGGTACGGAGAATGATTTCCTCTTATGTTGGGGAAAATGCTGAATTTGCAAGGAAATATTTGGCTGGAGAATTAGAATTGGAGTTTACACCACAAGGTAATTTACACCACAGACCTTAACCTTACTTTGTTAAGGTCTGTCCTATTATTTGGGAGCAGGCCAACTTACCGCAGAGCTAGAACCGTTCAGAATCGTCGAAGCCGTGATGCCCTAGTATGGTTCGATGCGCCTCGACGAGCTGAGTTGAACCAAGCAGGGCGTTTCGACAGTTTCTAAACGAATTTATAGCTCTGCGGTAAGGTGGGGCGTACTCTTATTTTTTCTAGGGACTCTTTCTGAAAGGATACGTGCTGGGGGTGCTGGAATTCCTGCATTTTATACACCAACTGGTTATGGGACACTTATCCAGACAGGTGGAGCTCCAATTAAATATAGTTCCACAGAAAAAGGCAAAGTTGAATTGGCAAGTGGATCAAAGGAGGTTTTTTTTATCATTTAACATTTTTCTTGAACATATTTCTTTTGTTAGACAAGAACTTTTAATGGAATTAATTATGTTTTGGAAAATGCAATTCGTGGCGATTTCTCTTTAATAAAGGCTTGGAAGGCTGATAAACTTGGAAATCTTGTTTTCAAGTATTTTTTTAGATTTTATTTTCCTTTCAATTAATTAAGGGGAACTGCTGCAAATTTTAACATTCCGATGTGCAAGGCAAGTGATTGCACAATTGTTGAGGTTGAGGAACTAGTCGAAGTTGGTCAGATTCTGCCTGAGGAGGTGAATTTTTACTTTATTTCAAGGGCGTAGTCTGGGGACTTTGCGTCCAGAACGCCAAAATTTTGACGCACACCATTCACCGAAATCGACCCTCTGGCTACGCCCTTGGCATATACATATAATTATTCTTTTAGATTCATGTGCCTTCAATTTACTGTCACCGAATTGTTGTTGGGGAAAAATATAAAAAGCCTTTCGAAAAACTAATTTTTAACGATTCATCTGCAAAGAAGGATAAAAGTACAGACCAATTGGATAATGTCAGAGAGATAATTGCTCGTCGGGCAGCTTTGGAATTTCAAAATGGAATGTATGGTATGAAATTAAAAATGAAAATTTTTGATAAATTTTAACTCTTAAGTAAACCTTGGAATTGGCATTCCAACTCTTTGTCCAAATTATTTACCAAAAGGAATCAGCGTTCATCTTCAATCAGAAAATGGTGTTATTGGCGTGGTTTGTTATTAAATAAAATTTATTTTCTTTAAAATTATTTAGGGCCCATATCCAAATCCGGGAGAGGAAGATCCAGATAGAATTAATGCGGGGAAGGAGTCAATCACTTTTCTACCTGGCGCCTCTGTTTTTGGCTCAGATGAATCTTTTGCTATGATACGTGGAGGACATATAGACTTGACATTATTAGGAGGTTTGCAAGTATCACAATATGGAGATCTTGCAAATTGGATGATCCCCGGCAAAATGGTTAAAGGCATGGGCGGAGCAATGGATTTGGTGATTATTTAATTATTTTAGCGTTATCTAATGATTAGAGTGGGATATGTATTTTTAACTCCTTTTTTTATTTTTTACCAATTCCTCTTTTTTATGCCTTTGGTTCCTGTACCAATCAAAAGGAACTCCTCATATTATGAGGATCAAATTTTATTCTCACATATTTATCCTCATAAATTTATCGGTCTGGAACTCCATCATATCATATTTATAGGGGGATCGTGAAAAGGTAGAAAGGTATCCAAAAAGCTCAAAATTTGCCAGTTATATTTTATAAAATCACAGATTTCTGCTCCAGGTTCGAAAGTTGTTGTCACAATGGAACATACTGCTAAAGATGGTACACCGAAAATTTTAGATGAGTGTACACTCCCTTTGACAGGTTTTTAATTTAGAGAATATATTTATAAAAGGGATGTCTCTTTACAGGAAAGAACGTAGTGTCGAAAATAATTACTGAAAAGGTTTGTTAATACAACATTATTTAATTATTTTTAGGCAGTTTTCGATGTAGACAAAGTAAATGGATTGACTCTTGTGGAAGTTTATAGTGATTGTTCTGTTGAGGATGTTGTCCAAGCAACTGACTGCGATTTTAAGGTTTTTTAATTTTCTTTTTAAATTTCGATTTTATTTTTTATTTAGATTTCTGAAAACTTGAAATCTATGGGACAGGCTTGAATGATGAGAGGTTTAATGAATTTTTAGACTAATTTAAATGTGGGTAATGTGATATAAATTATATATATTTTAAATGACTTGTAAAAATTTGTAGTTTTTATGTAAACCTTGATCATTGAATTTTCATTAATATATTTTTTTATTTAATTTGAATTTGATATGGCATTAAAAGAGCTAATTTTTCCCTTCAGTCTTAAAAAGATAAATTATATCTAAATCAACAGAATATTTTTTCTTTGATTTTGAACATGCAATAAAAAGGGTATTTCCTTAAAGAAAAGGATTTAGCTTTTTACAACAAGTAGTTTTAAGAAGATTGAATTAAGCGTAGATTTGTCAGTAACGTTAATGTCTTGGTCTGAGTTTAGCCTATAACGCTTTTGGGTTTCAGAGTGTATTGGTAATAAAGCCTACTTATTCCGTTTTTTAATTTATTAAATAAAATCAAATGACCAGGCATGTCCTAGAGGGCGTCTGATTGTCCCTTGCCGATTAATCGCAGACGGGTCAATCAGCTGTTCTCGAGTCGTGCCTTTTTATAAGTTTCGAATTTAAATTTTTTAGACTGAAATTTCTTTTGTATTTCAAATATTTTAAAAATAAATGGCACAAACAGATGCTAACACTGGAATGGTTCTTTTGACTGGAAATTCCCATCCAGAATTAGCTCAACTTTTGGCAGAGTAAAGAATTTAAATAATAAAATTTTGTTTTTTAAAGGAAGTTGGGCATTTCTCTTTGTGATGCAACTGTTATAAATCAGGCAAATAAAGGTTTTTTTGAAGATTTCTTTAAAAATTTTTTTAAATAATTGTAAAGCATATAGCTATTAATTTCCTAAGGCTGAGCAGTAGGCGGCGTGGTGTAATGGCTAACACATCAGTCCGGTCTACTGAAGATGCTGGTTCGCTCCCAGCCGCCGAATAACCTTTTGCTCTAGCTAAAGGAGAGAAATAGCTATAGCCCAGCTGCTTTACTTAATTATAGAAACTGCTGTCGATATAAGACAAAGTGTTAGAGGGAAGCATGTATTTATTCTCCAAACTGCTAACAAGTAATTAAAATATTTTAAATCTAACTTTTAATTTAAAATTTAGAAATGTTAATAATAATGTCATGGAAATGCTTATTTTGATATATTTTTGCAAAACATCAATGGCAAAGTAAGCAGAGTTTTTTACAAGGAGAGGTTGCGAGGTGTCCGACCTAAAAACGGTCGAAATCTGGCTCATTCTATAGATAATATGCCCTTTCTAGCAAGGATTTTGTACCGTTTTTGCCCGTTTTTTGATCTGGCAAGATACCTCTCCTTGTTAGTAAAGATTTTAAGTAAATTTGTATAAACACAATAGAACACCCTCTATTTTAGGTATACCTCAATTTAAGATTTCAATGGGTAAATTGAGTTGCCTAGCTGAGCGGCACCTTTCATTTAAGGACTTTCATTTTACATGAGACGAATTTTCTACCCAAAGAGGTTATCTAAAAATAAAGGTCGATTTTATGATAGAAAATCTCAAAATTTCCCTTGCTGTTGTTGGTGATGTTAGTAATAAAATTCTAACAAAAAATTTTAGAACAATTACTGTCGTTTTACCTTACATGCCTTACAGCAAACAATGTAGAATGTTTAGACGTTCTTCTGTTCCGATGAAATTAGTAGCCGATATGATATGCAAAGCTGGTATTTTAAATTTAAAATTATTTTTTAAATTTATTTTTAGGTGCTTCTCGTGTTGTTTCTTTGGATTTATATCGAAAGGAGATACAGGGCTTTTTTGGAATTCCTGTAGATAATTTACGTGCTTCTCCATTCCTTTTACATTATATTATTGGAAAT